CCTCTGCTTTTCTTGCGCTGTTAGCGGGGATCTGGATTGGATAGTGCCACTGGGACACAGCCTGGCACCTACAGGCAGTGCCAGCTCGGCAGGTAGCAGCTCCACGACGTTTACACTGGTTGTCGTGTTTATCTACTAGAAGGCAGAGCAACAGACACAGGTGTCTTCCGGCTGCCAGTCCACTCCACCGGTGACTGGGACACAGCTAGGCCCAAGCCAGTCATGGAGCACTCCGTGGGTCGCACGTGGGGTGTGTAGGAGCAGGTCCCTGTGCAGTAGGTGGAGGTGCCGACAGCTCCTACACCAGCAGCAGCTACCCTAAGGGTGGCTTCTGAGCAAAGGCACCAGGCAGTAGTCTCGAGTCGTGGCCTGGTAACCCAGGTCCTCTCCTCCTCCCTTGCAAGTGGCTGCGTTCAGCTGGGTTCTACCGGATCCCAGTTTCCCATCATCACTTGAACTGATTCTAAAACGTGTTTGTTGCTTGCAGCTTTTGAAGCATAGTGGACTTTAAAGCTTCGGTCTTCTGTCTGATTTGTACGACAGGATTGGAACGTGCCTATGCAGGCGGGAAGGGAGTACGGGAGATGGTGCAGCTGTTGCCGGGGGCGGGGGCAGGAGGGACAGCCACTGGCCATTGGCCAGATTAGCTGGTCATTGTTGAAAGTTAAAGTCAGAGTTTTGGAGAAATGAAGAGAAATCCTGCATCTGCTGGTTCACTCCCCCAAGAGTCACAGTGGCTGGAGCAGTTTGAAAACAGCGACTTGAAACTCCACCTGGGTCTCCCATGTGCATGGCAGGGGCCCAAGCATTTGGGACATCTGCTGCTGCCTTCCCAGGAGTACTAAGAGGGACTTGGGTTGGGAATGGAGTGGCTGGGACGCCAGGTTCTGTGTGCCACAGGGCCGGCCTCTTGGTGATGTGATTACACATGACATGTGCTCTCGAGTTTAGTCGCTGGGAATGTGAAACAGATCCCGCAGAATAAAGCAGGAAGCGTCATTTTTTATAAGGAGGTATTTTTGGTGTGTTTTGTTTTTTCTGGGAGGGGATGTAATATTTGTAAGTGAAAGTATAAGAAGATGAAATAAGTCTCAGGAATGGTTTCCTCGGGGGAGGTTCTGGCAGCTTGCTTTGGGTGTTGTTGGCCTATGTTGGTTCTCCCATCTGCACAGCTGTGCGCGTGTCTTACACTTCGTTATCACAGTTGGCAGGACCTTTTTCTTGCTTGTTTGTGATGATAGAGAAGCAGATAATGGTTACATGGATTGCAGATGCAGCCAGCGGACCGAGGAAGTAGACCAGGCCTGCGTGCCGCATGCGGGTTTGAGGTGAAGTGTGGTTGCACAGCATTGGAGAATAAGGGAGCAGCATGCGGGGTGTGCATTCGTAAGCCTGTAGAGATGGACTGAGGATTGGGAGCTAGTTAGGACACTCCTGTGCGAGGATGAAGAAGTGAGTAGATCTGGGCAATATAGGCATGAAACTCGCTCAAATTGAACTGATTTGTGGTGTCCAAGAAGACAGCAGTTCTGTCCCTGTGACTGACGTTTCGGTGGGAACGCCCAAGGCAAACACACTGGGAGCCCTGTCAGAGGTCAGGCCAGACTCTGCCGTGTGACGACAGGGACAGAGTAGGGGCCACAGAGAGGAGCCAGGGCCGCAGCTAGGCGCTCGGAAGTGCTGTCACAGCGAGTCCATGTGGTGACAGGCCAGCCGAGAAGTCAGGAATGATTTTGAAACCTGAAAGTCACTTGTGAATGGAGAGGATTGAATTTCTTCATTTCTAAAGCTTTTTCCATCTTTACTTTAACGTCTCTGAAATGGATAGCTTTATAGTAGCCTTTCCAAACACCAGTGTAAACAGTCCGACTTTGTTCCTCGAGCAGAACCAGACTCCTGGCTGAAGTGAAGGTGTGGCCTTGCGCTGTGCTGCAGGCCCTTGTCGGCAGTGGAGAACAGCGGTGCTGGTTCTGCGCAGCCGCACGTCAGCGGGCGTTGTCCTTCAGTGCCGTGTGAGCGCGAGGCCCTTCTCTGCCGTCCTGGTCAGTGTTGCTGGAGGTCCCGGTGACAGGTGGGGCCACGCCTGTGGCTCCTGGCTGCCTCCTCTGGTGAGCAGAATGGACACACGCTCGCGGGGTGCTTTGTCAGTTTGAGGTGACCACGTTAGGAATGTCCTGTCCTGTGGTCGACGCTTGTATGTTATCAAGTCAGTCACCCCCTAGTCAGCACCCCATCAAGAGAGGCTGCGACCAGGAGAGTACGTGCGGGGCCCCTGTATGGAGACCGTGTCACAGAATGGTTGCCGTGTGCAGGCCTGGTGGTTTGAGGTGTGTGTCCCTGTCTGCCGGTGCACTGGTACTGCCCCCTGGCCAGCCGTGCTGCTCTGTCCCCAGAAAGCTCCCGCTTCCCGCAGAGATCTTGCTGAGGACGCCCCGCTGTGCTGTGACCGTGTTAGGGTTCGTTTCGGTGAGCGTTCTCAGCCTTGTCTGTCCTCTTGTCCTTCCGATGCCCCACCCCCGCCTTGGGGTTGCTCAACTTCCTGCGGGCTCTTGTCAGCCTCTCCCTTGCCTGTGGCACGTCTGCAGGTGCAGCTGAGGGAGACGCGGCTCCTGTAGGACTCATCCTTCGACTTGCAGGGGTTGGTTGGTTTGACAGGAAGAGTTAGAGACACAGAGCTCTTCATCTGTTCACTCACTGCCCAGTGGCCACAGTGGCCAGAGGCGGACTGACCTGAAACCCGGAGCCTGGAGCTCTTCCCAAGCTCCCACACGGCTGCAGGGCCCTAGGAGCTGGGCCATCCTTAGAGGTGGTTTTAAACTTAGGAAAGCAGCAACAGGTCTTTTGGGGGGGGGGGGTAAAGATATTTTTGCACTAGATTAAAAACAAACAAAAAAGCCTGTAGTCTCAATGTGTAAGTATCTGAAGAAGGACAGCATCCAGTGATGGAAAACCTCTGTTGGTGGTGGTTCTCCTGCATTGTGGGGTCCTCTGTTGATGCCTCTGTTTTGTTCTGGATTTTAGCACACCCCTTTAAAGGGAAACACACTTGTTCCCCATGCACTGGAAAGCAGCAGCAGAGGCCATGTGAGTGACTGCAGTGAGAAGCTGGCGCTCACATGCATTATCTGCATGACACGCCTCGCCCTCCGAGAGCCTCGGCTTCTCTCTGCCAGCTTCCCAGGCTTCCCAGCAGGCTCTGTGGTTCTTTCCGTCCTTTTTTTTTTCCCCCACAGGAAAGTGGGTAACACCATTGTTTCCACACTAATATCATTTTTGTTCCTGTACCTGGGGTCAGGTGAGAAACAAAGGGAGAAGGCCCACCCAGCCTCCCACCCATCCCAGGTTCCCAACGTGGGGCATGCTCGAGGGTCCTGCTCAAGCAGTTTAGATAGTTCAGCAGTTCTGAATGGTAGCAGGTCATTTTGAGTATCTTATTTTGTAGTGTGAGTCCTGCGCTTTAGACAGTAACGATGAAGTCGGTGTTTCTAGCCTGGAAGCTTAGTCAAGCCCCTCACTCCTTCTCACTCCTTCTCTAGAAGGGGAGGCTCTGTGCTTAGAGACAGGGCATCGTTGGTTTATCACAGATAAGGGGAACAAGTGCAGCCAGTGGCCTGGGGAGGGAGGTTAGTGTACACTCAGAGTGTTCTCTTAACTTGTTCGCATATTTTGTTTTATTTTTGCTCCTCCCCTTTCTTCCCTTTCTGCTGTTTCTCATTTTGTGCCTGATTTGCCCATTTGGCTATGAATCCTTTAAGGGCGCAGATTTTCATAATTATCTATGTGTCTTTATTGATCATTGTATTTGATCCATAATCAGCTATTTGGATGAATTTATTTGTAAGCAAAAAATTGAGTGAATGAGAATAGAATGTGAAAGAATAGGGGTGGGGTGTGGGGCAAGAATGAAGCTTTCGGTCAAGAAGGTGGCAAGTGCCTTTGAGTGGAGACTGACGAGGAAGCGGGCGAGGCCCGGGCCAGTGATGGCAGAGAGCTGTCGGCTGTGCCAGGGAAGGCCGCAGCGCCAGTGCAGCCGGGGAGAAGGGGCTCCCTGGAAGCTGGCCGCGGCCAAGTGAGGAGCAGACAGGAGTCAGGGAAGCGTGGAGAAAAGTGGTGATTTTGGGGAGCTCCCGGAGAGGAGTTGAGGAGCCTGGAGAGAACGGCTGCAGTCTGCTTTTGTTGAAAGACCCTGCTCTGTTTAGCCATGGAAGAGAAGCGTGAGAGGTGAGAGCCGTGGCACGGGGTGATAGGCGTGTGCAGAGGGTTTGGCTGTGGTGGGAAGCAGAGCCCCCTCCCCGCCCACCCTGCAAGAAGAGACCACAGCTCGTAGGAAGTCTGCCTTAGGTTGAGGCCAACGGGGAGTGTCGTGTGTGCTCCAAGAGAAGGGGGCGATGGCTTGCTTCACTTGACAGACATGCCTGAAGATCCTCTGCAGGTCAATATCTTAAAAATGCTGCTGTTCATTGTTTTTTGTTTTTAAGATGTAGTTATTTTTATTGGAAAGGCAGATTTTCAGGGAAGAGACTGGGGAGAAAGATGTTCCATCCACTGCTTCACTCCCCAAATGACCACAACAACCAGATCTGAGCCGATCCAGAGCCACGAGCTCTGCCGGGTCTCCCACGCAGGTGCAGAGTCCCAAGGCTTTGGGCCATCCTCGACTGCTTTCCAGGGCCTCAGGCAGGGAGCTGGATGGGAAGCAGAGCTGCCAGGGTACAAACCAATGCTTGGAGGTAGAGGATCAGCTGGTTGAGTCAGCGCACCAGCCCTGCTATTCGTTTTAAATGCACATTCACGCTTGCTCTAATTCACAGCAGTTAAAAGGATATGACTAATGATAAATGAAACTAGTTTTATCTTATGAAAGATTGACATAAACTTGGTAAAGTTCTTGTGCAGACCTCAGCAGAACGTCGCATGCAGTCCGTAACCTGAGAAGGGACTCGCTTTACTATGAGGGTGCTTTGTCCGACCACTCAATCTTGGTTCTGTTTTTCTTTCAGTTATTGCAAGAACTGTGTACAGTGTTCAATGTAGATTTGCCATGTCGTGTGAAGTCCTCCCAGTTGGGAATTATCAGCAATAAGCAGACACATACGAGCACCATCGTGAAGCCGCAGTCCAGCTCCTGTTCCTACATCTGCCAGCACTGCCTGGTCCACCTTGGAGACATTGGTGAGCCTCAGTGGGCAGGGCCTGTCTTTGCAGTAGTCACAAGGAAATGTCTCCCTGAGTGGAGCCAGACTTACACGGCTGTGGGATGTGCTCTTGGGAACTGTAAAGTTGTCAGCATTGTGGGACTGGCAGAGCATCTTGAAGGAAACAGCTTCCGTGATAAGATTTAAGTTGTATTTAAGTAGGATGCAGGTGTAGGCAAGTAGTGCGTAGCATGAAGTGTGAGGTGCACCTGCCACGTGGGGTGTGCTTCCAAAGGCCAGGGCTGTACGGTGGGAGCGTTTCCTGGAGCTAGCCGACCGCTCCAGCCGCTGCACCCCAGCGAGCCTGCGTTCTCAGGAGAAGTGGTCTGTCCGAGTTACCCGATCGTCTCTGCCTGTCCCTTCAGGGTGGCCTGTGAAGGTTGGAAATAAATTAACACTGCGATTGGGTTTTGCTTGTCCTCAAGTCACAAGGATTGGAGAGCATTTCTGCTTTTAAGTGGGAAGGTGTCAGGTTTCTTAATGCCTTCAGTTGGTGCTTCCTTGGGGACGGATCGAGTCAGCGGCGAGTTCTGCCAGGAGTGTCAGGGACAGCTAGCTTCAGATTCATCCATTGGAGTAATTTATTTTTTTCAAAAAAATAAAATATCAAAGAAATACATCATTTCAGATCATGTGTATTTTGTTTCAAAGTGCCCGGCATAGTCCGTAGAGATTGCTGGGATGCCCAGCCATGAGGCCCTGGGGTCGGGCACAGTGACGTGTGCCGTGGCTCAGTGCTGACTGCCCCAAGTAGGGCAGGCTGGATACAGAGCCTCACACAAAATCCTACAGTTACACTATCTTCAGTTTACAGCTGATGGTTTTTGTGTTTTTAATTTTCTTCCTTTTCAGCTCGGTACAGAAACCAGACCAGCCAGGCAGAGTCCTACTACAGACACGCAGCCCAGCTCGTGCCCTCCAACGGTGAGAGCAGCTGTGCCCGGCGGCCGGGCACTTTAGGCCCCACTGCGTTCTTCCTAGAGCCTGACGTGAATTTATTCTTTTATAAAACAATACAAGTAGAGTTAATGTGATCTGCCATTGTTTCTACGACTCTGGCTTCCTTTTCACTCATAGACTGAGCGGAGTCATCTGTTGGTGTGGTGGGCCGTGCTCTCGAGAGGGCACAGTGAGCCGAGGCAGGGATGGCAGTGTGGGCTGTGGGTACGCTCACACGTGCTCCTCAGAGCCAGCAGTGTTTGCCTGTCTGGCCCTTTCCTGTCTCTCTGTGCTGGGCCAAAGCTGACAACTGGCACTTGGGTCCACGTCTCCCACGTGGGGGCAGGGAACCAGTTACTTGAATCCTTGCTGCTCTGTGTGTTAGCAGTAAGCAGGACACCAGGACGTCCCTGGGATGACCCGCTCACTGCTGGCTTGTGCCACGTGTGTCCTGGCATGCAGCGCCCAGTTGTACTGAGGGCGACACACGTGCCACATCCTGGAGGCTCCTTTGCGTGTTTGAGGGCACGGCTGTGTGGCTTGGGTCCCTTAGCACCTGGCTCTCCCCGTAGGTCAGCCTTACAACCAGTTGGCCATCCTGGCGTCTTCCAAAGGAGACCACCTGAGCACCATTTTCTACTACTGCAGAAGCATTGCTGTCAAGTTCCCCTTCCCGGCTGCCTCCACGAACCTACAGAAAGCGCTTTCTAAAGCACTGGAGAGGTGAGGCTCTGCTCTTGCGGTGCCAAGGGTGGCACGCCAGCAGCTGTCGGCCCGTCCTGGCACTGCCCTCGGCTGCCTGTCTGTGCCTCAGGGGCGCATCCTTCTCTTCCAGCCGGGATGAGGTGAAAAGCAAGTGGGGTGTCACTGACTTCATCAAGGCGTTCATTAAGTTCCACGGGCACGTGTACCTGAGTAAGAGCTTGGAGAAGCTGAGCCCTCTGCGAGAGAAGCTGGAGGAGCAGTTCAAGGTGAGGTCCCGCAGAGCAGACTGTTGTCTCGTCGGAATCAGATCATGGAAGCTTGGGGGACACTGGTGCCCGGTTTGGATGTCATTGCTGAACTGTTATTGACAAACGTGAAATATGTTCAGCAGATTTGTGTAAGGAAGCAAAACTTTGTATAAAGTATGCTGAGACCCAGGTGGAGTGGTAATTTTCAGCATGTTTGGCATAGACGTGGGATCAAAGCTCTGCTTCCTGGCCAGCAGAGCGTGCCAAGTTGTTTTAGACTGGAAGCGCTGCGGTCTGTCTGAATCAGTAGGTGGGCAGTGCTCACCAGGACAGGTGGTCATGAGGGAAGGTGCTGCTCAGGAGGGGGCAGTGCACACTCATGGGTTGGTACAGACACTGAAGGAAACATTTTGTGGGAGAGAAGATTTGGGAAATTTGAGGGAAAGAAAGAAAAGAGCTCTGTCGTTGTGGCCGGGATTAAGGAAGACTGGGTGCATACAGCATGGTGGTCAGGCAGCGGGGGCTGGGCTCCTGGGGGACACCGAGGGTCAGGCAGCGGGGCTGGGCTCCTGGGGGACACCGAGGGTCGGTCAGGCAGCGGGGGCTGGGCTCCTGGGGGACACCGAGGGTCAGGCAGCGGGGGCTGGGCTCCTGGGGGACACCGAGGGTCGGTCAGGCAGCGGGGGCTGGGCTCCTGGGGGACACCGAGGGTCAGGCAGCGGGGGCTGGGCTCCTGGGGGACACCGAGGGTCAGGCAGCGGGGGCTGGGCTCCTGGGGGACACCGAGGGTCAGGCAGCGGGGGCTGGGCTCCTGGGGGACACCGAGGGTCAGGCAGCGGGGGCTGGGCTCCTGGGGGACACCGAGGGTCAGGCAGCGGGGGCTGGGCTCCTGGGGGACACCGAGGGTCAGGCAGCAGGGGCTGGGCTCCTGGGGGACACCAAGGGTCGGTCAGGCAGCAGGGGCTGGGCTCCTGGGGGACACCAAGGGTCGGTCAGGCAGCGGGGGCTGGGCTCCTGGGGGACACCGAGGGTCAGGCAGCGGTCATCAGTGGAGGTCCAGTGCTCACCTGGATGTCTCAGGTCAGCTCCCCAAGCAGTTGAGTCAGAAGCAACTGTGCGTCTCCAGTTCAGAAGCTGACCCAGCAGTGCACCCTGCCGTTGCCAGAGCTTCTCCCTGGGGAGGCACGGGAACAGGATCTGTCCTTGTACCTGTTAGGGTGGTAAGGATTTGTATTTGAAAATGGGCTCCTTGAGCGGAGGCAGAATAAGGGGAGCCCAAGCTGAGAGCAGCCAGGCGGCTTCCTCCCTGTGCTGGGATCCAGAGCTCGTGGTAAGATGGGCGAGCCTCCCCTTTGACTTCCGGGAGGAGCCGAGATACCTGCAAGGCATCCCCGTCCGTGCAGGTTCCAGTGCGTTCTTACCCTGTGTTTGCTGAGCCTTACTCACAAATTATGTCGAGTCTGTGAAAAACAAAATTTTATGATGAATCTGGGAAGATACGTTTTTTGTATCAAGAGCACAAAAAGGTAAATTGTAGTCCTTTTGTTTGAAAATGTTTCAGTTACATTTGCTTTCTAGGCAGCAATCCCAGTTTAATGTTTTAATCTGTGTGCGTCTAAGTAACTTCAGGTAGATGAAGATGTAGACATTTGCAATTGGAACCCTAAGTATTTTTTTTTCTCAGATCATTTTAAAAATTAATTTGTTAGGGAAAAGAAGTTTGTCAGGCAAATAGTTGAGACACTGCCGCTGTGTTTTGGGAGTTGTCTGGGTAGAGGTAGGCTGCCTTCCAGGCCGAGACAACCTGGGGCCTGTCCTGTAGAACAGGACTGTCCTGACGCAGCTGACCCCGCTGCCTGTCCGTCTCCCTGCTCTGTGCTTTCAGAGGCTGCTGTTCCAGAAGGCTTTCAACTCCCAGCAGCTGGTGCATGTGACCGTCATCAACCTCTTCCAGCTGCACCACCTGCGGGACTTCAGCAGCGAGACGGAGCAGCACGCCTACAGCCAGGACGAGCAGTTGTGCTGGACGCAGTTGTTGGCGCTCTTTAGTGAGTGTTTCGTTGGACGGCTTGGGCAAGTGCTGTCATCTCTGAAAAAGCACAGTAGCCAGCATGTTTGTGTGTAAAGCACCAGGACGCATAAAATAGGGACGTGCTTTTTAGTAAATCAGAAAGTTGCATAAGCCCAGGTTCTTTCCACCTGGACAAAACCTCCCTTCTTCCATTGCTGGCCCTTGTGAATGGAGTAGCTGCCATTGTAGCAAGCAAAGCTTTAAGGTCCTTGCTGGGCAAAGGCAGGCCCCGCCCCCGGCCTGGGCCCCACAGGCTCCCCAGCACTCTTCTCTCCACAGTGTCCTTCCTTGGCGTCCTCTGCAAGTGTCCTCTCCAGGGCGAGCCGCAGGGGGACGCCTGCAGCACCTTCCCCCTCCCTGCGGTCAAGGTCTCCATGGATTGGCTGCGCCTCAGACCCCGTGTCTTCCAGGAGGCAGTGGTGGGCGAGCGGCAGTAGTAAGTGTTGGGGTTGCTGGGGGTGGGCGAGTGGCAGTAGTAAGTGTTGGGGTTGCTGGGCTGGGCGAGCACTGTAGCAAGTGTTGGGGTTCCGGGGGGCTCAGGGCTGGTTCGTGCAATATCAGACTTGTGAGCCTGCCTTCGGGAGCACACCCTGTGGACTGGAAAGCTGTGCGGTGAGCTGCTGTGGGTTGGCTCGTGGGATTCTAGGCAGGACGGCCGGGCGCCCTGTGCTCTGCCACTGCTGTCCTGGGGAAGAGGCGTTTTTCACATTTTACGGTGAACTTGCACAGAATCCTTGTGGACCTTGTCCAGCACACTGCTCCCAGGGGCTGCTGTGACTTCCCCTGGGAGTTCCTCTGTGTCCTGTACCGGAACTGCTGTGTGAGTTGAGTTAACTGGGTTGAGTTAGGGTTACTCTGAGCACACATTGTCCTGGCTCTCATCACTTTCTTCTTTAATCTAGAAGTCGTTCAGATAGTTGCCAGAGCCGTTGCCCCCAGTGACCAGCGGCCTGTGGAGAGGGGCTGCTGCGGGCGGGCCCTATGCTGAGCTGACTCGCAGCTGTCCTGGCAGTCCAGGGATCACCCAGCTTTCTCTGGGCTGGGACGTGCGTCTGCCCACACTGCCTCGGCCCCAGCCTCTCTTCCCCCACACCGTATTGTCTTTGTCCTCTTGTCTGCTTTAGAACCCAGGCTGGATTTGGGGCTCAGCCAATTGTGTCAATAATTCTGTTTTCCCGTGTATGCATTAATGAACAAGGAGTGTCATTTCTGGGTTTTTTTGCTTGTTTTTAAATTGAGGTTCATACCAAGGAGGCATGCAGCTTTTTTTTTTTTAAGATTTATTTTTATTAGAAACATATTTGAAGAGGGGAGAAACAGAAATGCCTTCCATCTGCTGATTCATTGCCCAAATGGTCACCAGGGCCAGAGCTGAGCCGTTCCAAAGCCAGGAGCCAGGAGCCTCCTCTGGGTCTCCCACGTGGGTACAGAGTCCTAAGGCTTTGGGCTGTCCTCTGCCATTTTTCTGGGCACCAAGCAGGGAACTGGACGGGAAGTGAAGCAGCTCACATACAAACCAGTGCCCGTACGAGTTGTTGGTGTTTAGAGGTGAAGGTTAGCCATTTGAGCCGAGTGCCAGCCCCTGTAACTGTGGTTTTGCTTTCCTTCCTCCATCTGGTTCCTGGTGAGCGATGCTTGGGGCTGTTGGTGATGGTGGCGCAGAGCCACTCGCGTGTGCCCCCTCTCACGCAGCCACTTGTGTGTGCCCTCTCTCTCACAGCCACTCCGCACCTCTGGCTCATTCTGCTCTCCCGCTGGGTGCGCCAGGGCCTTCCCAGGGCGCCTTGGCGGCTTTCATTCTCTCGCACTGTACAGGCTCGTGGGGAGCAGTTCGTCTCAAGGTTCTCCTCATGTGTCTGATATGGTAGCTCAGTCTCAGCCGCTTTTGTGAACTCAATTTCATACAGATTCGAGTATCTTTGGTTTCTAGTCCTGGGGCTTTTTGACTTTGTAGAACTTTTTTTCCCAGTGTACTTTTGAGAATACACTGCCTTAATGCTTGTAAGCATGTCCTGTTGTGTCCCCTCTTCTCTGGAGCCAAGAGCAAGTGTGTCACAGAGCACCCCGACGTGTGCTCTTGATTGTGTCACAGAGGCACTCATGTGTGCCCCCTCGTGTGCCCCCTCTCACACAGCCACTCGCGTGTGCCCCCTCTCACGCAGCCACTCACGTGTGCCCCCTCTCACGCAGCCACTTGTGTGTGCCCTCTCTCTCACAGCCACTCACGTGTGCCCCCTCTCACAGAGCCACTCGTGTGTGCCCTCTCTCTCACGCAGAGCCACTCGCGTGTGCCCCCTCTCACGCAGCCACTTGTGTGTGCCCTCTCTCTCACAGCCACTCACGTGTGCCCTCTCTCACACAGCCACTCATGTGTGCCCCCTCTCTCACACAGCCACTCACGTGTGCCCTCTCTCTCACGCAGCCACTCACGTGTGGCCTCTCTCTCATGCAGCCACTTGCGTGTGCCCTCTGCCTGTTTTCTCAGCAGCGCACTGGCTTCAGGAGGGTAGCTGCTCAGGTTAGGATTCCTGTCTAGGTTACTAACTGTCATTCACCGTATCTCCATGTGTGTGGCATTTACTCTGCAGTATTTGCTATGATATTTCTGATTCTTTATGTATTTTCTCTGTATGTGTCTGTTGATTCTCTAACTAGCATCTCTCATATTTCAAAGTGCACAGTCATTGAGAATAGTTGTTAGCTTCCAGTTTTCCGAGAGGTGACTATTTTTCGTTTGTGTTGGTTGGTACACATGCAAAGGTCGGCCCATCTGGCCTACAGAGTGTGACTGGCAGGTGCGTCCACTGGGGGCTCCGAGTGGTCCTTGGCAGCGGAGCAGAGCACTGGTTCTAGGCGGCATTGGCATGGCTTATTGGTGTTCTCATTTCTCTCATTCACGTGGGCTGAGGTGTCCCTTTGATTTGCAGCGTTTGGCCCTGGCTGATCTCACTTCTGAACAGCTTCCACCCGCATGAGGAGGACCTCTGCAGCACTAACGGTAAGGGCCGCCCCACGCGTGTGAGCTCTGTCCTGATTAAGGGGTGGGGTAACAGTGTGTTGGCAACCTTCTGTTTGAGCTGCATCTCAGTACAAGTATAGCAAGTACTATACCTTCATGTTCATTCCAGCTTCTTCCCTTCCACCCCATTCTTACTGTTTTTTTAAATCGGGATTAATATGATGTCTGATCAACACAGCATGGCCAGTGCAGAAGGCACAGGGCACGCTGTGCTGCTCGCACACCACGCACCACCTTCCATATGCAGGTGATAAGAGGTGATCAGTGTTATACACGCTTGTATCTGCTTTTTTAAAAATCACCATTACATGGTGGACACTTGATTTTCTCATCCGACATTTGAAAATTTGAGCTTTCCTGGCCGCACAGTGCTCCAGCCTCTGAGAATGCCATATTCTGATCACTGCTTTCGCTGCTTTAACACTCCAGGGCTGGATGAAGCTCCATGCGGGCAGCCTGCATCTAGATTGCTTTCTGATTTTTTTTTCTGGGCTCTTTGCAAATGAACCACCCCCATCAGGTGGGCAGGTTCAGTGTTGTGCCTGAAGTGTGTGTGTGTATGGTGTGCTGCTGGGAATGTCAGGTGGACAAAGGGATCGTTGGATCTGAGGCTGCAGGCAGGGAAGTGCGCCGTCCCTGTCGTGCGGAGTACGTTACAGGAGTGGGCGAAACCAAGGGCCCTTTGTGTCTGCTCGTCAGTGTTCTGCTCACAGCACAGTGCCAGCTCAGATGTAACAGCCTCTGATTTCCTCCCGCTGTAGCTACTCCACTTCCAGAGGAGTTCGAGTTGCAAGGATTCCTGGCCTTGAGACCTTCCTTCAGGTAGGTGCCGGGAAGGTGGCGGGCGTCGCCAGCCCACGGCGTCCAGAGCTGTGAGGCATGCGTGTATGTGCCTCTGCTTGTCGTCCTGGGTGACAGGAGTGAAGCGAGAGGAGCCGCCTCTCCCCGGTGACGACACTGCACTGCATTCTACCTTGGCTAGAGGGGACATGTCAGGGAAGGAACCAAATAGAAGCCAGGAGCTGTCCCTTGGCATGTATGTCATCAGTGCTGGGGACGGAACAGGCTGTCGGCCTGGCCTTCGTCTCTGCTGGCTTCTTTCAGGGCCCGGGCCTGTGGCACTGCTGTCTGCCCTGTGCAGTCGCTGTCCTGTCCCAGATGCTCTTGTCGCTGGGTAGGCTTGCCCCCTCGCAGCAGTCCGCCCCTGTGTCGGAGCTCCCGTCTGCGATAGGAGGTTGCAGGTGTTCAGTTCTGTGTGTTCGGGCTCGATGGTCACCTGGATGGAGCCCGCATTGTCCTGTTTGCCATCTGTACATTTCCGACTTGCCACGTGGTGTCGTCTGCCCATGGGAAGCCCTCATTACCATTAGCCGTCAGCATCCAGGCTTGTGTGCTGGGGGTGGAAGACCCTCCCTCATTCAGGTTCATCTCTCTCTAGTTCAGCTCTGTAGCTAGCATGAGTCTACGTAAGTATACTTACAAGTATTTATGTATTTTAAAGGTGGCCTGAGAGCTCCCTCCACTGGCTCCCTCACCAGGTGGCTGCAGTGGCACCAGGGCTGGCCCAGGCTGAAGCTCCATCTTGGTCTCCTGGGGGAGGGGGACAGGTGTTTGGCATAGAGGGGAAGAAAGATGCTCCTTGGCAAGTACTGGGGCTGTTGATGGGGCTCCTGGCATAAGCCCGGCCCAGCCTGTCAGAGCAGACATCTGGGGGAACCAGTCAGCAGATCAGTGCATGTCCATCGTCTCTCCTCTTCGTCACTCCGTTTTTCTGTCATGTTACCTTTCATTCTGAGATGCTGTTTGGAGTTCCTGTCACATTGGTACACTTGAGCTCAGCTGTGATCACTGAGACCATGGGAGACCTGGCTGACCCTCAGCTTGGAGCTGTCCAGCCCTTGCTGTGGCAGCCTTTGGGGAGAGAAGATCTGCCTGTCTCTGAGAGACAGAGAACTTGGGATTTTTACAGTTAATCTGACAACCTGGCCTTGCCACCCGTCTACCACAGTGCCTGGTGTCTGAGCTGTGCCGCCCAGGCGTCACTTCCGCTCATATCCCTCTCATCGTCTGTGCTGCTTTTGTTCTTGGCGCGGCTCGTATCCTTGCACTCACAGATGAACTGTAGATTCTGTTTCTTAAATCCAGGGACTGGTTCTTCACACAGCTCTGGGTCCTTGCCATTTGAGCTCTCTGCCTGTCTTCATGGCCAGCATATACAACACAGCAGGCAGACACATTAAAGACAGGAAATTCAGGGAAGAGTCGTCAATGGATGGAGTGTGATAAAACGCTACGTGCATCATTTACTTGCCATCAGTGAGTTTACTTGTTCTAGAAGATCCAATTGCTGGCATTGTCCAGGAAAGTTTGGTCAGTTTATAAAGTTGAACAGCTGAAACATTTTGAGTTGTAAGAGTGCTTTACATCCCTGTATTTATAGTAAAACCCACACACAATGACTTCTTGGCCTTTTGGCTAAGAGCAATTGTCTTATCTGTTCTTAATATCTGAAACGTCCTCTAGCCAAGGACAATGTATTAAATGGGATTTTTGAAACCTGGAGTTGGAATCGGAACTTCCTCTGTCCACTCCCGTCAGCCTGGGTACTGCAGTGCCTCGGGGAGTGAAAAAAAAAAACACAAATAAAAGTAGGGAATTCCCCAGTACCTGATTTCTGACCTGCGCTGGGAAGAAGAGGGGAAAATGTGGGGCCTGGCATGACAGCCTAGTGACGAAATCCTCACCTTGCTTCCACCGGGGTCCCCTGCGACTACCGGTTTGTGTCCTGGCTGTTCCACTTCCCATCCAGCTCCCTGCTTGTGGCCTGGAAAGCAGTAGAGGCTGGCCCAGGGCCTTGAACCGTGCACTTGTGTGGGAGATCTGGAAGAAGTTCCTGGCTTCTGCTTGACTCAGCTCTGACTGTATCTCCTTCTATATGTATATTTGCCTTTCCAGTAAAATAAGATCTTTTAAAAAAAGAGACAATGTTTCCCACCCTAGTGGATTCTTAAGCGTGTTTGTGTGCCAGCTGGCTGTCTCAGCACAGTTGGTAGACATCTGACACGGATAGCACACACGTTGTCTTCAGAAAGCCCACCCGCTGACTCTTGGGTGCCGCCTCCTTTGGAAGTGCAGTTCCTCACACCACAGGAAGGGAAAGGGGGTGGCCCGCAAGGAGTGCCCGAGAGAGCCCATCTCGCCGAGGACCCCGTGCCCGGCCTGCGGCCGTGAGGGTTCTCCATTTCAGCAGAGGCTGGGCACCTGGCCTAGGTGGAGGGCAGAGGCCTGCCTGGCAGTTCTGAAGCATTTATGTTTTTAATTCAGTGAAGAGAAACTTGAAAAATCCTTTTTCACGTTGCTTTTCTGCATTTTTCTGCTTTAGAACGGGTCAGTGAGTAGCTATTTTGATGCAAAGCCAGTTGTGGAGCCCAGGCATGTCTGGTTTTACCGCAGCTCAGGTTTTCTGTATTGTGGATAGAGCGTGCTGTTTTCCTATGCGATCCATCAAGCGCACGGGCTGTTGTGTCAAGTTAGCGGTTAGTGTGCTCTGTGTGAACTTGGTTGCCTGGAAAATAATTTGCTTATCCCAATTTTAGGAACTTGGATTTTTCTAAAGGCCACCAGGGTATTACAGGCGACAAAGAGGGCCAGCAGCGCCGGCTGCGACAGCAGCGCCTGATCTCCATAGGCAAATGGATCGCCGACAATCAGCCAAGGTCTGTCTGTGTGGCTGACGGGAGGGCGGGCGCCAGCGCAGCAGTGACAGTGCCACTTGGGCAGCATAGTAGGTTAAGCCTCCAGCTAAGGGTCTGGTGGAGACCTGAGGGGATCACAGCTCCAGTCTCCAGGTGCCTAAGGGCATCTCATGGGATGCTGGTTTGAGTCCAGCTGCTCTGCTTCCTGTCCCGCTCCCTGCTGTTGCACATGGAACACAGCACAAAATGGCCAAAGTACTTGGGTGCCAACGCTCAGATGGGAAACCCGGAGGAAGCTCCTGATTCCTGGCTTTAAACGCCCAGCTCTGGCTGGTGGTTGCAGTCATTTTGGGAGTGAGCCAGCAGATGGAAGATATCTCTCTGATTTTGTCTCTCTAAATCTGCCTTTCAAGTTAAAATAATAATAGTAAGACTTGAGCATAAGCTAAAGCATGCCTGACGAAAGCTCAGCATGGTGGTGCAGTGAGCTGGGTTGCCACTTAGAGCGCCAGCATTCTGTGTGCACACAGTGGTTTGTTTAAGTCCCAGCTCCCTGCTCATGTGCCTGGGAGCCCAGCACTCTGGGCCCTTACCACCTCACCCAGAGACCTGGGCAGAGTTGAAGACGCTGGATTCCTGCCTGGCCCCGCTCTGGCAGCTGTGGCCATTTGGGGAGTTGACCAGCCGATGGATGGTGTGCCCCTCCATCCCTCCTTCTGTTTCCTGTTTCAAATCTTTAAAAAAGTGCCTGGGATCAACTCTCAGCTGCACTGCCTGTTCCAGCCTCCTGGGGGCAGCAGATGGCGACTCAGGTACTTGGCCCACCGGCCTGGCCAGGCACCAGGGGAACCAGGGGCTGCAAGATCCTGCTCTGCGCGCGTGTCTCTCTCTCTCTCTCTCTCTCTCTCTCTCTCTCCTGCCTTCCCAATGGAAAGTGGGGGGGGGGGGAGTTTAGAGGCAAGTTTATTTCAGTGTAAAAAAATTTTTCAAATCCATCTTTGCAAGTTTGTAGAAAATGCATGTTATGGGAAAGCTGTGACTGGAGTCAGAAGTTTTTACATCTAAATGAATGTATGCATGTCGTGCTGCATCCTCACCCTCTCCCCACGGCACTGCTTGTCTGGGACTTAAGTGTGGCTGCCTCGGCTCCCACAAGCTGCCGGGGTACAGGAGCATTTTTTGGCAGTCAGCGTCTTGTTCCTTTGACTGTTTGCTGCAGCTCGAGGGTGGGGGCTTCACAGTCCTGAGTCGGGGGGCCCTTTGGTCAGGTGGAGACTTGACCATGGCCAGGTGGGATGGAGGCCGAGTGTGGTGATCCAGTAGCAGGAGAAGCGAGGCTGGCACTTGTGAGCTGAGCAGCCTGCCCCCGGAGCTGTGCTCCCTCAGGCTGCGTGTGAGGTCGGGTGAGCTCAGCGGAGGGCTGTGTGGTGGGAGAAGGGCCAGGTCGCAGCAGGGGGAGCCGGCCAGAGCACACGGGCTTCGGTGCACTGTGAGCTCAGACGGGAGTGAAACATGCTTGTGTCATAGGCCATGTATTATGGCTTTCACATATGGATTCTTTCTTACTTTCTTAGGCTGATTCAGTGTGAAAATGAGGTAGGGAAATTGTTGTTTATCACAGAAATTCCAGAGTTAATACTGGAGGACCCCAGTGAAACCAAAGAGAACCTCATTCTGCAAGAAGCAAGTGTGAGTGAGGCGCCAGCCAGCGACGGGGGCACAGGGCTCAAGTCAGTGCTATCGTCGGGCCGCGGGCTCGGCAGCGGCGGGGACCCCGGGGAGAAGCCGGTGGTCACCTTCAAAGAGAACGGGAAGCCACGAGAAGGGAGCAGAGACCAGGGAAGAAGTTTTCCTTCCAAAGAGGTGAGTGGGGCTGTGGCTGGGGAATGGCAGCAGAGTTAGTGAGGCGCTTCACCTTGACTCTCCGTGTTGAGCCCTTCTTTGGGCTGTGTGTCCTGAAAACACGTGTGAGTGCTGGCTCCCTGAGGGGTACTGCCCCGGCTCCCTGAGGGGTACTGCCCCGGCTCCCTGAGGGGTACTGCCCCGGCTCCTGGGCTGGCTCTCCCTTCTAGCAGGCTGGCAGGGAGCACCTGTCAAGTGGTGTCATTCATGCAGAGCCAGTGAAACAGAGTGCTTTAGGCTCCAGCACGGCAGGTGTCACCATGTGCTGTCCCCTTGTGAATGATGGAGAATAAAATGGAGCTTTGAAAGAGCCCCTGTCATTTCCTGTCTGAGCCAGTGGCCGTGTGTGACTGCTGTCTTCCTGGCTCACAGAAATGGGCCATGCGGTGGCTAGGTCCAGCTGAGGAGGTGTCAGCAGTGCCCGGTGCTCTGTGACCTGGCTAGACGTGGGCGAGATGCCACGTGGCTGTGAAACCTTGGAACGCTCACCGGCAGGCGAGCACAAGGAGCCTGACGTGGCTTAAGGCAGCACTGCATTTCCTTCAGAGAGAGAACATGGGAGCTCAAGGTTCGCAGGAGGGAGAGGCGGGCACAGGTGTCAAGAGAAGGCTCGGGGAGACGGGGCCGGCAGGGAAAGGTCAGAGGAACAAGGCAGCTAGGGTCCCTGGACACGTTAGAGCTCAGCGGGTCCTGCTGCTCTGCTCTCTGCGCTCCCTCTCGGGTCTGCCCGCGAGTGTTCGGAGCAGTCCTTGCGCAGCCAGGGGAGAGGCCTCGTCCCCACCCATGGTGCCGTTGGTGACCCAGCCAAAAGCCCGGGCCCCCTGACGGAGCAGCACGGCCTCAGGCAGGTGGTCAGTCTGGTGCCTCGCCTGTCTGCAGAGAGTAAAGGGAGGTGGCTGTGTTTGGTGACTTGTGACATCTGGCAGGACAGTTGACTAACCAAAGCCCGCCCCCCTTGGCTTTCCCATTTTTTTCTCTGGTGAGTTTACATTTCTTCAGCCTGGATTTTTAACATCGTGACTTTTCCTGGGTTGACCTGCGTCTTTTTGGCAGTTTGAACCTCGGGTTTTTATGGCTGGTTTTGCTGCTGTTGGTCACAGGTGAAATCGCAGACAGAGCTGAGAAAGACTCCTGTGTCGGAAGCCAGGAAGACCCCCGTAACACAGACCCCGAGCCAGGCTGGCTCCCCGTTCATCCCGATCCATCACCCGGCGGCCTTCCCGCCGCTCCCCAGCCGGCCAGGTGAGTCGGCGCCGTGCTGCTGTGTGCCTGTGCAGGGGTTCCTCTCTCACACGGTAACTCGCACTTCCTTAGAGATTACCAAGCCTTAGAATTAGAGAAAGCTGTGCTTGCCTTCCGCTTCTGAAACGGAGTCGTTTCTCTGTTGTCTACAAGCACATGTGTTCTGTGCTGAGATCCGGCCCTGCCTTTAGAACGCATTGCTCGTGTCCGCGGTACGAGCTGTTGTTTATATGATGTGAGATGGGCTGCTCTGGAGAACTGACGCCTGTCCTTCTGTTTTGAAGGGTTCCCGCCCCCGACGTACGTCATCCCCCCTCCTGTGGCGTTCTCTGCGGGCTCAGGCTACACCTTCCCAGCCGGGGTCTCCGTCCCAGGACCCTTCCTGCAGCCTACAGCCCACGCTCCCGCAGGAAACCAGGTGCAGGCTGGGAAGCAGTCCCACATTCCTTACAGCCAGCAGCGGCCCTCCGGACCAGGGCCTGTGAGCCAGGGGCCTCAGCCGCTACAGCCGCCTTCCCAGCAGCCCCTTGCCTCTTTACCAGCTCAGCCCACAGCACAGTCCACGAGCCAGGGGCCGGGCCCAGCTCGAGCCCAGCAGCAGTCCCCCACAAAGGCTGGGCCAGCTCTGGGGAGAAGCTCGCCTCCCCACTCTGGATTCCAACAGGTGAGTGTGAGCGAGCTCAGCCTGTGTTGGGTCACAAAGTACTAGTGAGCTGTGGGGACTTGGGAGGCTGTGCAAGTGCACTGTTTGGAAAGGCTCATCATGGACCTTGTTGCTTTCGTTGTACTAGGTCTTAACCGCCAGGGTTTGCTACGTATTGTTGCTTAGCACTGAAGAAAAAGATGTGGGAAGTAAGATACTGCAGGAGGAGAGCAGGGCCGTCAGCCCGGCGTGCTGCTGGCGGCTATGACCTGACCTCAGCCACAGCACTGCGGGGCAGCGGGAGGGCTCTGGACACAGCACAGTCGTGAAGGGAGAATGAACGCAGGCAGCGCCTGTCCTCTGCTCCTGCAAACTCTGAAATGAAACCGACAAAGTGGCAGGAGCCGTTGCCCAGTGGAGGCGACACTGATTGACAGTAATCCCGTGGTCACTGTGTGCTGGCTGTCGGTAACGACTCCTTGTCCTTGTCTCTGCAGTACCAACAGACAGATACCTCCAAACAGCTGTGGAATCCCCCTCAGGTGCAAGGCCCCCTTGGGAAAATCCTGCCTGCAAAGCCGCCCTACTACCTTCAGCCCCAGGACCCCGGGGCGCTCTTGGAGCCGGGCCTGCAGCCTGCGGCCCTGCAGCAGCCTCTGGAGAAGAAAAGGAAGCCTTTCCCCCTGGAGCCGTGCCACCACAGCCCCTCCGACGCCTCGCTCCCCGACTTCTACTGGGACTCTGCCTACAGCATGGCCGACAGCCGCGCCGTCGTGGACCGCAGGGGCAAGCGGGCCCCAGCAGGCTTCCGTCTCGAGCAGGAGCCCATGCCCAGGGTGCCGTTTGAGGTGTGTGGTCTGCCCCCGCTGGCTGCGCTGCAGGGCTGGTGGCCGCAGTTCCCTCCCCGGCCTGTCGGGTGGTGGGGGTCAGGAACAAAGCCAGGGTCTTAGTGGAGTCCCCCGAGTCTGAGGGTGGTCTCCGCAGATCGCTTCTCTCTCGGCCCAGAAGCCGCGCGTGGTGGCCCTGCTCTTCCTCGCCCTGTCCTCTGGCCGCTGTCCTCATTACACCCTTCTCTCGCCTACCTCATTAACCATGTGCGCCTCCCGCCCCCCCCCGTGTGTGCCCATCGCCCCTCACAGCTCACTGTGCCCTTTCTGTCACTAGGGCCCCCCGAGCTCCCCTCTGCTCCCCCCGGACCTGTTAGAGAGCCTGGCTGCCTTGGAGGACGAGGAAGAGCTGCTCTTTGCTAACCCTCCCGAGCTTTACCCAGCCCTCCTGGGGCCTCTCGCCTCTCTCCCTGGACGAAGCCTCTTTGTATGTATCCCACTTAACACGCTTGTGCTCTAGTCCAGCGAAGGCCGGCCCCGAGGCAAGCTGGCTTCTTTGTGGTGCCAGGAAGCCTCCAGGGCTGCATGCTGCAGAACACCGGGCCTCTCAGGGGCCTTGGCTTCTGGGCCCAGGGTTGGCCCATGGCATTTATCCTTAGAGATGGTGGTTGATTTTTGGACTATTAGGAAGGAAAGCTAGCCGCTGGTTCACTCCCCAGCGGGGCGGCCGGCTGCAGCCAGGAGCCTCTCACGCGGCTGGCCAGTCGCCTGGCTGTGCTGGGCTGCTCTCCCAGGCACGCTCGCAGGGAGCAGCTGGGTTACCGCTGGTCCCCGGGTGATGCTGTCACTGCAGGTGGTGGCTGACCCTGCCACCACACAGCACCCACCTCCCCTCTCTCCTCCTGGCTGGCTAATGGGGCTCACAGTCCTAACCTTGTCAATCCAGTTGGATTCATAGAGAATAGGCACAGATGGAGGGGTTTCTGTTCGTAAGAATTACTGGATGTCCATAAATGACAATCCTGAAGATCAGGCTTGGGGAGAACTAGGAACTGATGAATGGAACTGATAAAAGAATGTTCTAGAATGCACCATGCATTTAGTGGGTGTTGTCACCGCCCCTCGTTGTTCCTGTGTGCTTAGGGAAGCTGGACGAGGGAGATGAGTGTACAAAGGAGCCAAGTGCCTCCTTCAGTGCCCTGTGATGGAATCAGAGATTTGGAGTTTGTGTTTGTGCGCTTTGCCACAAGCACAGAACAAGGAAACGTTGAAATGTAGTGGGGATGAGACCCCGAGCCCTGAGGTTCCCCTCCGGATTTGCCCAGCTGAGCCTCGGGGAGCCCTTCTCCCCAGGTCGGGGCGCAGCGTGCAGCCGGTCTTGCTGCTGGCCTTGCTGAGGCATGGTCCTTTAGCCTGGGCACTGCTGCCTGCTGCCCATCCCTCCCATTAGAAACAGTGCTAGGGACAGCATGGGCGGAGCCAGCATGGCCCCCTGGTGAGTGTGGGCCTGACCTTGGCCGCTGGTCTATATGTCTCGTGAGTAGAGCTGCACAGGAGGCACGTTGGCAGATGACAGGCTTGGTCACTGTCAGCAGGGAGGGTCCACCCCTGGTTCTCAGATGGTTCGGAGTGCAGCCTGCTGCCAGGTGCTCCCAGGGTGCCCACTGACATGGGGGGACCGGCTGCTGGCTCGGCGAGGTCTCAGGCCCAGCCCTGAGACGACTCAGAGGCCTAACTGGATGCTTTCTTCCCCCCGGGACTGAAGAAATCCTTGTTGGAGAAGCCCTCGGAGCTCATGTCCCACTCCTCCTCCTTCCTGTCCCTCACCGGCTTCTCTCTCAATCAGGTAGGGCCCCGGACACTGCCTGTTCTAGGGTGTGTGTGCATGTCCATGTCCGATGTGTGAGTCGTTCACGTTGAAATCCTTGGGGCTGTGCTGTTCAGCCGAGCGTACTGTTTACAGTTTCTGACCTGATAACCTGGGTGCTTTGCGTGGAGCCAAATACAGAGAAGCACAGGGAACAGCTGAACAAAAACGAAAACCTTTGAAGTTCTCCCGCCCGGAAGAGCCGCAGGGAGTTGAACTAGAGGTCATCTCTTTCAGGAACGATACCCAAGTAGCAGTGTCTTCAACGAGGTGTATGGCAAAAACCTGACGGGCAGCTCCAAAGCAGAGCTGAGCCCCTCCCTGGGCCCCCAGGAGACCTCCCTCTACTCCCTGTTTGAAGGAACGCCGTGGTCTCCGTCCCTGCCTGCCAGTTCAGGTATTCGCTCCTCCTCACGGTGCACTGGCGCGTTGGGTGGGATCACCTACGACGAGCCAGCAGCAGCTGGGGGAGCGCAGTGCGGGCTCCGTGCCCCACTGGCCTTGGCCTCCTTCGTAGTAATGTCCATCCTGGGCAGGGAAGTCGCGTGTGTTAATATACGACATTGGTTTCTAAGGAAGGATTTATTCTTTCGTGAAAAGCAGAGTTACACAGATGGGAGACACAAAGAAAGATCTCCCGTCTGCTGGTTCAGCCTGTTGAAGCCAGGGTCCCCAGGCTCTGGGCTGTCCCCCACTGCTCTCCCAGGCCTCAGGCAGGGAGCTGGACGGGAAGTGGGGCTGCTGGGATTAGAACCAGTATCCATATGGGATGCCATAAAATAGGGATTTCTAATCTCATTTTCAGAAGAAGTTTGCTCTCACAGTAATTCCTGCAGTTAAGGACTTCCAACAGAGCAGGCTGACGCATACTGCCCCTGGGCAGAGCTGGCTGTGCTGTGCCTGCCTGGCATGGAGGGCATCTTCCTTAGCCCTGTGGGCAGCGGGCAATGTCACCGTGCTCACGACCTGTGTTGCTGTCGCTTACCAGATCAGTCGACACCAGCGAGCCAGTCTCCTCATTCCTCCAACCCCAGCAGCCTGCCCAGCTCTCCTCCAACACACAGCCACAGCTCCATTCCCTTCTCCAATTTTGGACCCATTGGGACTCCAGATAACAGGGAGAGGAGGACCGGAGACCGGTGGAAGACGGACAAGCCAGGTGAGGTCCAGCGGTGGGGCTCAGCGGCGAGTCCAGTCCTGACCCTGGGACGCCACCTCAGCTGATTGTCCTCTTGTGTCCCACAGCCATGGGTGGGTTTGGCATCGATTATCTCTCTGGCCCGTCCTCCTCTGAGAGCAGTTGGCATCAGGCCAGCACTCCGGGTGGCCCCTGGCCCGGGCCTGGGCCCTCCGTGGAAGACTCATCTGCTGTACTCATGGAGAGCCTGAAGGTAAGGGGTTCCGGAGCCAGTGCCCCAGGGCTGCTGCCGCGGGCTCCTCGGCTGTCTGCTGGGGGCCCTGAGGGTTGTGCTGAAGCAAGAGGCCTTTTGTGAGCCTTTGCAGATCCAGGCAGAGCAGGGCACCCAGGAAGTGCCCTAGGCATTCATCACTTCCGTCCTGGAAGAGTCTTCTGGGCAGGGGAGGGCCAGGGACCTGGGTGTCCTGACCCCGGGCACCCGCCCTGCTGACAAGCCCGGGTTGTTTGCAGTCCATCTGGTCCAGCTCCATGACGCGCCCGGGACCCTCGGCGCTGGAGCAGCTCCTGATGCAGCAGAAGCAGAAGCAGCAACGGGGACAAGGCGCCATGAACCCTCCACACTGAGGCCAGCGCAGCCCTGGGAGCCGAGGCTCCGGAGACCTGGCCCGCACAGCCCCTGCGGGGGCCGCCCTCACCTCTGTTGCTAACCGGCCAGAGGGTGTCAGCGTCCCAGCATCCTGCTGAGTGTGCACGGAATGCCCGCAGTGCAACCACGAGAAAACCGTCGGGAACTCTCCGTCCCCCGGGGGCCTTCCGGAGGGAGAGAGGAACTGCTGTTTGTCTCACCTGATGTCACCACCTCTCCCCTTCTCCATCATGCATGTCCCCAGCCACGAGGGCAGTGGAGGCCGAGGAGGGAAGGCAGATGAAGAAGCCAGTGGGGACTTCTCAGTCCTGTTTTCCTCTTAGGGGAATAAAGTAGGAATCCACTGATGATTGCTGACTGAGAATGTAGTGAACACGTTGGATTATTGCTGATGCTCTCAGTAGGAAGGTACCACTGAATTCTTCCACACTCAGATGGATGGCAGGGGAGGCCCAGCTGTCCCTGCCCTTGTGAGGCAGGTGACTGCAGGGTGGCCAGTCAGTGGCCGGGAGGGAGAGGGCCAGGGCTGGCCTGGAGACCCAGCAGAAGTGTCCTGGAGAGGCTCAGGCCCCTGTGATGACACAGGGTGGCTGGTGGTGCTGGGCGGGCGCTGCTGTCCGTCCGCAGGAGGCTGCCTGTCTGCCCGTGGCCCGCCGTGCTCCAGCAGGGAGGAGCTTCAGTGTGCTCGTCTTGTGGTTGGTGTCCCTTCCCCGCCCTGTGCTGTCGCTGCTCGTTGTCTCTGTCCCCATGTGCGTACGCGTTGCCAAGGAGCACAGCATGGGGGCCATGGTGGGTGAGGCGGCCGGAGGCGTGGGGCCATCCGCACAGCCATGGGGCCTCCGCCTGCAGGGTGGAACTCCAGGCAACATGGACACGTGCCCAGCGCACACGATGAAAATGCAACTGAGTTCATTTGGACAAGGCGGGGGGAAAAAAGGAAAACAGACTTTGTATGCTATTTATTAGGAGAGAGGGTTGAAGATGTGCCGTGTGGACACACGAGGGCAGCTGTTGGTCGTTGCCTGAAGAGGGATCTTTAAGGGGGGTTACGGAAACGGTCTGTCCACTTGCCGTCTCATAATGGGGTTGTGTCCTGGCAGTCCCTCCTGTGTGTGTGAGTGTTCCGTGCCCTCCCGGGGGGCTGACCCTGTTGGTGTGTGCTGGAGCAGCTGCAGGGCCCAGCACCCACGGGAGCCCTGGGCGCCCACGTGCCAGGCTCAGGGTGGCAGAGTGCCGGTGCTTGCAGGACTGCTTTTAGTTTGCAATGCTGTTTGGGGGTTTTTGATTTGTTTTGGTTCTGTTACCCCCTTCCTCCCCTCCCCCCACACAGCGGCAGCCAGAGACCCTCTGTACTTCTCCCCAGCTTCTCGCCCACGCGTGAGCTCTGCATGAGGAGCTGCAGCGAGCCAGGGCCGGAGCTGCTGCCATGCCCCGGGGTGCGCCGGCAGGGGTGCTGTCCTGTGCAGGAGGGTCCGAGCCAGACACACAGCCCTGCTCGGACGGCCTGCCTTGCGTCGTGGCTGTGGGGGAGGAGGACAGGGAGGAGGCTCGTCCTCGGAAACTGCTCTTGTGTAGTGAACCTTGTTTTGGGGGGCTTTGGTTGGTTTGGGGGTTTTTTGGGTTTGTTGGTTTTTTTTCTTGTCTGTGCAAGACTCGCAGCTGCTGAAATCAGCTTTGCCTTTAATTAAACCGTGTTCTCTCCAACCACATCTGTGTGTGCGCTGTTTGCAATCCTTGGGGTGGGGGTGGGGAGCACCAGCTGCTCCAGGCTGCACCAGGAGAGCACGGCCAGCCCCTGCGGGACGATTCAGGTCAAGCGCATGTGCCACCCTCCGCACCGGCAAGCGGCGTGGGGAACGCACAGGGAGCAAAGCTGAGCACCAGAACTCTGCGGGGTTTTATTAGGTGACCCCGCAGGTCACCGAGTCTCACAGCCACAGTGATGACAGTCTCGGCATGCAGGTTGTGTAGTGGAGGGAGGTCCCGTGTTGGGGGCTTCAGCCTAAACCGCGCCGGGCGTGGCCGCCTGCCCTGGTGTTGCCAGCTCTTCCACGAAGGCTCTGGGAAAGATGCCCACCTGCCCCCTGCACTCGCCTTCCAGCCACTCGTCGTTGACTGCAGGGAGGAAGGGACACGTCAGTGCAGCCAGGCACCGTGGCCTCCGTGCTGTGGCCGGCGAGTCGAGGATGTGAGCGTGTAGAGCGGCCTGTGTCTCAGAGATGATGGGGTGAAATGCAGTTCTATTTCTCAGGAAGTTAGGATTAGAGAAGTGAAAGGAATTGAAGGAGTAATTCCATGGTTCCTAAGGAAGGGTCACGTGAGTTCCCTCGGCCCTGGACTCTGGAAAAGGCCACATCGGACAAGGGACAAGTCTGGACTAGTGTGTCCACCTGGTGTTTGTGAACGTCATGGCCTCAGTGGCTCAGACTACCAGGGTGCACACATAAATGCATTCACTGGGACTCCCTACACCACAGGGCTGCGCTCTGTCCCCACATGGCGAAAGAGAATGACACTGCACTGTGTCACAGCCTGGACAGCCACCTGTCCCTGTTTGGGAAGACAGCCACTTTGGGGTTTGAGGACATCGCCACACACATGCCCACCTCTACCCCAGGGCTTAGGGCCGCACCCAGTTCTGTCATCGCCAACCTGCCACTCAGCAGTGCAGCCGCGGGGTTGGTACTGATAGAGCAGAGAATGCCATCGGCTGCCAGTGGCCTGGGAAAGGCAGGAGACGCCCACCATCACAGGGGAGCTGTGGAGCAAGATCGCGCTCCCCTGCCTTCAGAGCGGCCGGGTGTCCAGCCTCGCTGGGTACTGCCTGAAGGGTCTGTCTCCGGGAAGCTGAGGGGTGTGGTCCCCAAGTTTGAGAAGTGTCTTTGAGTTCACACTCCCACCGGCTGTTGGGCAGGTGCGCGCACTTGGGTGGGGGGAGGGCATGTTCTTTTGAAGGACTGGTTGGTGGGAGGTGGGAAGCTGAGGGAGGAGCAACAGGGTTTCAGGACATGGTGCTGACTGCTGGTGTGAGCCGGGGGGGATAGAACCGCTGGCCAGGGGTGGGCCGCCCTAACCGCGCACACTTACCCTGGGCCAACACCAAGACGACATCCCCTTCTGACAGTGCCAGGTCCTCGGGCTGGCTGGCCTCATAGCTGAAGAGCGCCACCACGCGGCTCCCTTCTCCCAGCTGAGCACCGGCCGCCTGCTCGCCGGCTTCCGTGGGCTCACGCTCCTTGGGACCCTCCAGAATGCCTTGGTCACCCTGAAAACAGCACAGCCCCTGCTAGGCAGCATTGGAGACAGGCCACTAAAGGGCCGTCGCACCGTCAGTGCCCACATGGCCTTGCCACGTGCTGTTGGCTTGGTAGTGGACCCTGTGGCATCTCAAAACCCCCTGCAGAGAGCAGGCAGGGCTTTGTCTGGCCTTGGGGAAGCAGGGGGTCATACCACTGAGCCCGCCCCTCGGCAGGCATCCGTCTGGGTGGTCTTGAGCACACCTCCAGGGTGCCTGGCTGGACCTCCTGAGTCAGACTCCCAGGAGGGAAAAGGCCACCCCTTAGGTGTCACCTGCTGAGACCCCTAGCGTGCCAGTACCCTGTGGGAGAAGGACCCAACTCTGGAAGTGGAACAGCTGGCACTCGGTAGAGCCACGTCTGCCCACAGGGGTACAGTAGCCACCATGCCTGTGCCGCGGCCACCACAGCCCTAGAAGTTCATGGGCACATGAGACTGCATACTGCTGTCCACTCACAGGAAAGCCCTTGGCAGCAGGACACTGGCAGAAACCAGAGCAGGGGTCCTGAGGCCGAGAGGGGAGCGGCCAGTGCCGTGGCAGAGCTAAGCCTCCGCCCGCAGCGTTGTCATCCCATATGGTCGCCAGAATGGGTCCTGGCTGCTTCCTGCTTGTGGCCTGGGAAGGCAGCAGAGGACGGCCCAAGACCTTGGGAACCTGCACCCTTGTGGGAGACCTGGAGGAGGCTCCTGGCTCCTGGCTTCAAATCAGCTCGACTCCAGCCATTGCAGCCACTTGAAGAGTGAACCAATAGATGGAAGATTCTCTTTCTGTCTCCGCTCTGTAAATCCGCCTTTCAAGTAAAAATAATTCTGAAGACACACATACGATGAAAGGAGATGGCATCCTGGACTCTGCAGGCCAATGGACAGTTGATGCTCCCCCGGGGGTGAGAGTGCTCCCCCGAGGGTGTGAGTGCTCCTCGGGGGGTGAGAGTGCTCCTCGGGGGTGTGAGTGCTCCTCAGGGGGTGAGAGTGCTCCCCCGGGGGTGTGAGTGCTCCCCCGGGGGTGTGAGTGCTCCTCGGGGGGTGAGAGTGCTCCCCCGGGGGTGTGAGTGCTCCCCCGGGGGGTGTGAGTGCTCCCCGGGGGGTGAGAGTGCTCCCCGGGGGGTGAGAGTGCTCCTTGGGGGGTGTGAGTGCTCCCTGTGGCTGCCCAGGGGCCCCTGAGTAGCAAGCATTCCTAGCCTCTTGTTCATCCCCTTACTTGGTGGGGTCAGGCTGTCTAGACCTGGGTCTCATGATGTTGGCCACCCTTCTGCTGTTGGTGCCCAGGCCAAATGCCTGGCCAACTGTGTCACCTTGGTCCAGTGGCTTGGCCTCTCTGCCATGTGTCCTGACAGCGCCCAGCGCACAGTGCAGTAGGGACACTCCACAGACACCTGCTCTTGGCAGGAGGCCACCAGCTAGGTCACAGCTGAGGTCATGAAGCCTCCCCTGTCCCTCCCCAGGCACACACAGCGGGTGCGGGCTGCCAGGCCCGGGGCACTCACCACCGTGTTCTCACACCACAGAGTCAGGCAGCTGCAGGTGGTGTGCCTCCAGGCGTCTGGCATGCTGTCTTCCGAGAGGGGTACCAGCTGCTGGTCAGCCCGTGGTCGGTAGCTGTGGTCGGAGAGCCAGGGCCCGTCCATGCAGAACCTGCCGTCTGGGCACTCCACCCCCAGCACACAGCCACCAGGCAGGAGACTCACCTGAGCTTTGTGTGTTCTGGCAACAACTCGAGCTTCTTGGCCACAAGGTCCAGCAGCTGGCTGTAGCGCAGCTGGGCTTGGGTCTCCATGGCCACCGTGAACTTGTAGTGCACCTTCACCGTGTAGGGCTGGGGGCCACTGAGCCTGGTCTCCTGGGGGCAGGGAGTGGCAGCCTCCTGCTAGGCCAGTCCAGCTCAGTGTCCAGCAGCCATGGGCTCCCAGGAGACAGGCCTGCACTTGTGGAGCACCCGGGGACTTTCTGCAGCCCTGAGTGTGAAGCTGCGGCACCTCCCAATACCCTGTAGTCCTGAACGAGCACCCAGCCGACCGCCCCCTGCTCCTGTCCCCATCACCTGAAGAGGGGAGGACATTACCTGAGGCTCATCCTTGTGTCTCTGACCTATAAGGGAACAAGATGCTGAGCCCATGCCCCGCGAGACCCCCTCGGAGTAGGGCTCCCTGTCCCAGCTGCCCCAGCTCCAGCTGTTGTGGCCACAGGGAGTGAACCAGTGGTGGAAGAGCCCTAACTGCCCTCTTCCTTTCTCTAGCACTGACTTTCAAGTACATAAATCTTTGAAAGAGCAACATAGTGGGGGATGCCAACAAGGTGTGCTTTTCCAGGACAGCTGACCCGGCTCCACACTGAAACCTAAGCCAGCATGGGGGTAAGGAGGACATACGTGCTGCTCAGCTGGCCTGGACCTGCCTGCCCAGCGCGGCTCTCCGGGACCTCAGGCGAGGTCCAGCCCACAGAGTCGCTGGCCCATCTGCAGCTGGATGCAGGCGGGCTCTGCTGCCACCCCTCCGCGGTAGTCGCTAGGATCCTGAGCAATGAGCTGTGCTGGCAGGAGGATCCAGGACATGCCAGGGGAGAGGGCTGTGAGGAACACTTGCCTCCAGGCCTGGGGTGTCACCCCAGGGTTACTCACCTGGTGAGCGGGGAGGCCTCCCAGGGGCACTGGCCCTGGGGGGAGCCGGGATGTGAAGCTCTGGGGTGGGGTCCTCCTGAAGGTGACAGGGAGGCAGGGTAAGAAGCTTCCTCTGCTCTTGGACAGTGGGCAGCCCTTCAGACTTCCAGGATGGGAGCAGAAGTTAAAGAGGCAGCAGTGCTGGTCTCCAACCTGTCCTTCCCCTCCCAATGCCCCATCCAGGGGGGACCCCAGCAAAGGGCAGGCCCTGAGCCTGCACCCAGGCTGCAGAGGGCAATGAGAAAGCATCAGCCGGCTGGCACCTCCCACGGGCACTGTGGGCCTCTGTGGTGGCCGGCCATGCCTCCTTCTGGCTCCCACTCTCGTCCATACTTGGCCTGAGCCGCCCTGACCAGGGGAGCCACAGGGCCTGGGGTGAGGACAGTGCAGGGCCAGCTTGGGCTGCTGCGCCACGGCTACTCAGCCCTCTCACCGTACCTGGGGCTGCTGCTGTGTGTGGATCCGCAGCTCCACGGGTTCCAGGTAGTTGCAGGGAACCAGACCTTTCTGCACAGGAAGGGTTCAGTGAGCACGTGCGGGAGGGCAGTGCACGGTAAAGCCCCGACCACAGCTCCGGCATACCTGGCCATTGAACATGACCGTGGCCCAGTTGTCACTGCCCTTCTTCAGAACAAAGACGATGTTTCCTGGCATGACCCGGAGCTCCTCCGGCGTCTCGGGCACAAAGCCAAACAACACGCGGTGGGCCTCCCCCTCCAGAGCCCTGCAGAGCACGGGCAGCTACTGAGGCTGGCAACACATGCCAGACGGGCACCCAGCAGCTGCTCCATGACCACGGACGCAGGGGAGGCGGCCACACCGTGCAGACCCCCCCGGCAGCTGCTCCATGACCACGCCGTGCAGAACCCCCCGGCAGCTGCTCCGTGACCACGGACGCAGGGGAGGCGGCCACGCTGTGCAGACTCCCTGGCAGCTGCTCTGTGACGATGCCATGTGGGCCCCCGGCAGCTGCTCCGTGACCACTTGGCCTGTGTCCCTTCCCTCCCTCCTGAGGTCCCTGGCCAGGCTGGGTTAGGGCATGTCGGCCTGGGTCAGGGATGGGGCGGATTGCAGGGGAGGGCCATGCTCAGAGGCCACCTGGCCAGGTGCACCTGTCACTGCCCTCACTGCTTCCTCAAGCTGGGGGGTGGGCTGAGTGGCTCAGCAGTCCCTGACAGTTCGCTGCCCATCCCCTGTGAGCCAACTTTTCTGCTTTGTCTGACATTCCCTGGGCAGCAGCCAGGCTTGCTTGACACCTTCAAATGTCTTCTGTCCTGTGGCCTTCCTCTTCTGCTGCCCTGTGCCCAGCAGCCACCCAAGCCCTGGGCCTCTGGCCTGCTGGGGACAGGCAGTGACCACTGGCCAGCACAGGACCCACCAAGACCCTGGGCTCAGCCTCTGCCTCGGGGCTCCCTGCCACACACCGCAGCCCTCGTGGTGTGTGTGGCAACTCACCGGAAGATCTCTGGGGTTTTGGGTCTCGGTGGAGGTTCTGCTGCCTGTGGGTGAAGGGCAGGGAGGGAAAATGGTGCATGAGTGGTCCCTCAAAGGTCTCCCAAACCAGAGCAGGTCACTCTGGCTGCAGAAATCCCTGCTCCGCGGCCACACAGGGCACCGCCATGGGTGCCGCAGGCCAGTAGCCCTGTCCTGCCAGCTGCGGCTACCGTGTGATGTTCTGGGTGCCTGAAGGCGTGCTGCTAGTCCTTGTCCACACTGCCTACCAAGGGCTCACCCGGTTCCTGTCTGCTCAGCTAGACACTCCCTCATGTTATGACAAAGACCCAGGGGTCTGCAGGCTGCCCCCCCATGATCCTGGCCCACCCTGGCAGTCACGGCTGTCCTGGGGGTGTTGCCATTTGTGGCCAGCACCCTGGGCCCCTTCATGTCCTCCCCAGCCTGCTCCACTCCTAGGTAGCTCTATCAGCCCAGGCAGCACCTGCATTCCTGCACACAGCACAGACCCGTGCTGCAGTTCAAGCCCATGCAGCCTTGCTTCCCCACCGGCCACAGACCCAGGCTGCAGCAGAGTTGAAGGGCACCATTCTGCCACACCCCCTGCCCTGGCTGAAGGCGTCCTCCCCCAACCCCACCCTCCAGACTCACCTGAGGCTGGAGAGGAGCAAAGCCAGAGAAACTGTCCTGGTCCACCACCGAGGCCACAACCTGCAGTGGCAGGCAGTGGGCTAAGAGCCTGCATACCCGCCCTCCTCCCCGGCCCTGCACCCTGCCCTGGACCTGCTCCAGTCCCAGCACACCCCCACTGCTGGCCTGGTCCATACTCTCTCCTTAAACCCTGTCGCACTGGAGTGCCGCCTGTGGAAAACCAAATTCGGTGTGTTGCAGTGCACACAGTGTGTCCGCACGGAGCACAGCCTCCAGCAGCGGAAGCACCTTTTCCACTTTTGCCCAAGGATCTACCCACTGGCACCCTGCCCTTGTCCTGGCTGCACCCTCTCTTGTGACCAAGTACACCCCACTTTGGCAGAGGCCACCCGTTTCACCTGTGTGCCTTGTTGGACATTGACTGTCCCTGTGGACCTGTCCCCCACTCCCTCCACTCTGCTGGGTGCCAGACCCAGCTGGCCACACGGTCACAGGCCATAAGGGTGTCAGGTCCTGGTTGGCCACACGGTCACAGCCTGTGAGGGCACACCCAGCTGGCCACACGGTCACAGGCCATGAGGGCACACCTAGCTGGCCACACGGTCACAGCCTGTGAGGGCACACCCAGCTGGCCACACGGTCACAGGCCGTGAGGGTGTCGGGTCCTGGCTGGCCACAGGGTCACAGGCCATGAGTGTCACGTCCTGGTTGCACAGGGGAGTCCAGGATGAGAGAGGAGCCGGCACCAGGGCAGTTGGTGAGGGCAACAGCTCCTCCCTCCCAGGGGCTCTCAACCATTCCCTCTCCCTGTCTGCCGTGGCCTTGGCGCCTGTGGGCAGCCCCACTTGGAGCCTCGACTGTTGGCACCACCCCACAGGGGCCTTGCCTCAGGCCTGCCCAGCTGGCTGCCAGGGACGCCTAGGCGCACTTACCGTGGCCTTGCCCAGGTAGTCCTTCTTGGCCAACTGAGCCACCTGCCGTTCATTGGGCCGGAACAGCCTGCCCGTGGGGATCAGCACCGGCTCATAGAGCTTCTGTTTCTGCAACAGGAATCCCACCCTCTGTGGTGGCTGCAGCCCGAGGCAGGCCTCTGGTCCAGGGTTGTTCATGACCCACCACGGAGAGCTATGCCTCAAGGGGCTACTCTGTGCCACACACAGGGTGTGTTCAGACTGAGTCATTTTGGCAAAGCCCAGGCTTTGGGCCCTAAGTCCTCAGCTCCTGTTGGGGCCTGAGATGGTTCCCCATGCTGCCCAGGCTCAGTTCAGAGGGGTAGCACCCCTCGGGGGGCAGGCAGGGGGAGGCTTACTATTTGCTTGAGAGCCAGAGAGAGTTCCCCAGAAGCCAGGGCTGGGCTGAGAACTCAACCTGGTCTCATCTGCGGCTGGCAGGGACCCAGCTACAGGGCCATACCTGCCACCCGTTCCCGGGGCACGTTAGCGGGAAGCTGGGACCAGGATACAGCTGGGTCTTGAGCCCAGGCCCTCCCTGCCCCTGTGTGCGATGTCTCACCTGGGGTCACCTGGGCACCCACGCAGACTCACCCACACACACTCCATGGCCTTGTCCACCCTGGAGTGCCTGGGCTCAGACTTCAGGTTCAGGGCCAGCGCCAGCTGCTCTTCAGCCTGTTTCCACTCCTCCTTCTTTGCGTACATCAAAGCGATGTTATACAGCACCTGGCAGGGCGCATGCACAGTATCAGTGGGGGCTGCTACAGGCTGTACCTCACCCCCACGCTGGAAACAGCAGGCTGCTGCCAGAGGCGGAGCCTCCCGCCGGCTCTCACTGTACAGTGCTCGTGGTTGGGGCATGTTCAGGGCAACTCGCCTGCACTGCCCTGCATCCGCCAGCAGAGTAGCAGACACAGTGGGGCCAGGGAGGTGGGCCCCTCCCTGCTTGTCCCGGTGTCCAGGCCTCGGGCTAGGTGATGGGGTGGGATGAGGGGAGGGCAGCTCACACTTGCCTTCTGGTCATTATGCACATTCCAAATGGGCTGAGTGAGGACACCCTTTAGCACGCACCGGCAGGATGAAAGAACAGCAGGGGAAGGAGAGAAACCACGTGACTAAGAAATAAAGGACGGGGGGAGGGGTATGGGAGGGGTGGGGGAAATCCCCAGTGCCTATAAAACTGTATCACATATGGGCCCGGCGCGGTGGCGCAAGTGGTTAAGTCCTCGCCTTGCACGCCTGGGATCCCATATGGACGCCGGTTCTAATCCCGGCAGCCCCGCTTCCCTTCCAGCTCCCTGCCTGTGGCCCGGGAAAGCAGTCGAGGATGGCCCAAAGCTTTGGGACCCTGCACCCGCGTGGGAGACCCGGAAGAGGCTCCTGGCTTCGGACCGGCATAGTATCGCGGTGGACCAACAGGGGCTCTCAGTTGCATGTTCTGGAGAGACGCCCCCCTAAAGAGCAGGGCCTGTCACCCCAAGCACAGGGACCCATGGGACAGGCCAAATGGGGCCAGGTGGGGCTGTGGCCATCTAGACGTCCCTGGGCCTACGCCTGCCCTTCTGGCTTGGTCCTCAGCCGCTGCCCTCAGGAGACAAGGCCCACTGCCAAGCCTCGGCTCAGAGAAGCCCCAAAAAGCACCTCACAAGGACTTGCATGACTCCCGGCAGCCAGGGTCATGTGTGGGGCTGTGGCCAGGGCCGCCTGGAGCAGGGGCCAGCCTCGGCCCCCATGCTGCTGCACTGGGGTGCCTAAGCCAGGGGCCCAGATCCATAGATCTGTCTCTGAGCCAGAGCTGCCAGGATGATCTCGGGCTGTGGCTGGGCAGGCAGGCAGGCAGGGCTGGAGACCAGGCCACAGTGGGGCAACCCCTGCCACCATGTTAGAGGGAATCCTGGCTCCTCTGCCCAGGGCTGGGGAATGGAACTCCGTGCAGCTGTGGGCTCCACTTTCAGCCCGGTGACCCTGGGAAAGCCTCTTGCTGGGCTGAGAGAATCAAGCAAGGGGTCTTTACCCAGTGATGCCGCTAGGTGAAGTCTGGGGCATCTACAGCACTGCCAAGCAGCGGGGGCAGCTGGGGGTGGGCATGGGTGTGCGGAGGAAGGTGAAGCTACCAGCTCGAGCCACGTGCATCTATGGTCTCTCAGGAGCACCCCCCCTTCTTTCTGGGGACTCTTCCAACTGTCTGTGCTTTGAGCAAGAGGGGGCAGGTTGTCCCCAATTATCCTCACGCCTCTAGCGTATCAGTGAAGCGCACAGGATAAGGACCAGTCATATCTGCAATAAAGGGACAGGGGAGGGGACAGAGGGCTGAGGACGGAGGGCTGGGGATGGAGAGCTGAGCAAAGATGGAGGGCTGGGGAATGGAAGGCTGGGCATAGAGGGCTGGGAGGAGACAGGGCTGGGGACGGAGGGCTGGGGATAGAGGGCTGACCATGGACTGACTGGTCCACAGAATGCTAAGCAGTCAGCTTCTTCACACACAAGGAAAACTCTAGCAGTGCTTCAGAGGCAGTGCCAGCACTCCAGGTGGCCAGTGTCTTAAGCTGAGCTGTTGGGGTCCCCCTCACCTCGCAGGCAAACAGCTTGAACTGCAGCCCCAGGATCTTGTAGTCGATTAGCTGGTTTCCCCGGAGCTGGGTCAAGGCCTCTTTGAGGTCCTTAATGGCTGAGTCATACCTGCAGGACACAGGCACGGCAGAGCCCTGAGCCCAGGAAGAGCTGCCACCTATCACCTGTCCCATCTCCCAGGGTCCAGAAACCCCCGCACCCACCCGACTCCGCAATGCTGCTGCTTGCTCGCCAGCCCCGGGTCCTGCAGATGTGTCTGAGAGCCCAGAGCTGTGCAACCTGTGCTACGCACGTGGACCCAGTGTGGCTGCAGGCTGAGCCCCTGCCCTGTGAAGGTCCCGTGTGCTGCAGCCAACAGGAAGGGCACGTGGAAGCCCAGCAGTGTGCACAGCCTGATCCTCAAGGAACAGCCCCACTGGACCTCCGGCTGCGCCCTGGGCACCCTCACATGCCCTGTTCCCCCTGCTGGGAGTTCTTGGTTGGCTTGAGCCAAGCCCCTTCCCTGCCCCGGTGCACCCAGAAGAAATACCATCGGTAAAGCCAGCGGGCCACATCAAGGAATGTGCACGTTGGGATGATGTTAAATGTGACATCGCAATGGCTTCTCCGTAACTCCAATCCCTCAGAGATGCTGACACACTCGGGGCACACTTGTCTAGACTTATCAGATGGAAACGGGCTGTGCTGCCCACACTAGCCTGAACTCGGTGTTGCAGGGTCAGTATCTCCCACGAGCTTTTCTATCTTAGTAGACACCTGCTTCTGGCTGCTCTGTGCTCCTGTGCTGGAGCGACACAGAGCTCCTGTCCTGCCAATTTTATTTCCCACAGATCAGGCCAGGCTCAGGCTGAAGCCAGGAGCCAGGAACACGGTCTAGGGCTGGCTGCAGGGGCCCATTCCAACCCCTCGAGCCACCCCCTCTGCCTCCCAGGGCACTCCCCCAACTCCCAGAATGGTAGTTTTGGACTTTTCTGGACTTTTCCAGGGTGAGGCCCACGCATGTGGGTGCAGCACAGCCTCAGCTGTGGATCGCTGTGTCACCGCCCTCCGTGCCCCCGGCTCCCTGCAGTGTGGGGACACCTGTGGGAGCCGCACCTTTCCAGATGGTAGTAGAGCATGCCCCGTTGGAAGTAGGCCACCGCCAGGTGCCTGTCCCTGTGGATGCTGTTGGTGAAGGCCTGTGGAGGGAGAGGAGCAGAGGAAGGTGTGGCTTGGGGCAGGATCAGTGCGCCCTGGCTGTCACTTCCTGGTTGTGTGGCCCTGGCAAGTTCCCTTATCTCCTGGGGAGACTCTGGTCTCCTCTGGGAAGTGGGGGTGTTACTGTATGAGCGCCTCCCGGGCCCAGCAGCAGGGCTTTTGGCCAGGGGTGGCCAAGGGCCATGGCGGGAAGCGCAAGCCGCCAGCACCCTCCGCCCAGCTCCACCCCCACCTCTGCCCCTCTGCGGCCATGAAAGGGGCCTTCCTGCTAAGCGTGGTGGAGGCCGTGCTGCCCTGGGAGCCGCATGGGGCAGCGCATGGCTCACTCACCTTCTCTGCTGCCTGCAGGTCCCCCAGCAGGCTGTGCATGCAGCCCACGTTGAAGCAGATCCGGGAGTGGGGGTCCTGGACGGAGCTGAAGGCGGCCAGGGCCCCCTCCCAGTCCTTTCTGTCAGCAGCTAGCACCCCCTCATTCCAGAGGCTGATAGCTTCTGCCAGGGACATGCTCAGGGTTGTCGGGGAGGGGGCAGGCAGTGGGTGTCTCCGGGCCACGGGCACAAGGCGGCGGCCCTTAAGTAGCTGTCCCTGTGTCGCAAGGGCACCAGGAAGTGTCCCCACCTTTCAGCAACTGACGTAGGAGCTGCGAGAGAGAAGGAACAGGCGAGAGAGGCCAGCGGGGTGAGGCCGGAGGGGAAGTACAGCAGGTGCCGTTGCCATGGGTCAGTTCCCCAAAAACACGCAGTGCTTCCTCCCCCTCCTCCTCTCCCTGCTCGGGCCACAGCCTCTGCTGGGGCTCAGGCAGCCTTGGCAGAGCATGGGGCTTCCCTGGCCTGGCTGGCACCTGGGGTTGGGAAGTGGCTCCTCCTGCAGCCCCGGGCTCTCTTGACCCTGGTTGTGTGGACAGCCTCATCCGGTTAGTTTCATTTTGAGGCCACATCAACACCCACTCCCTACAGCTTCCCACCCCACCTCACTCTACAAACTCCTGGCCTTAGAGGCCACCTTGCCACGCCTGGCCACCCCCCAGGCACTGTCTCTTGCTGGCTGCAGTGGGGCTCGTGGCTGCTGGTGTGGGCGCTCAGCATCTGCAGTGTGGGTCCCAGTGCAGACCCTGGTGAAATGGGAAGGGACACGAGTCTCGGGGGGCCGTGAGGCCAGGGACGTTCATGAGCCCCGTCATCGGCACTGACTCCTGGGGACAGGCACTATGTGAGGAATCCATGCTTTGTTACTCCCAGGGAAACCCCTCACGTCCCTCCAACCAGCCTGTCTGGAGAAACCCACGCACAGGGACGACACTAGCGGATCCTACAGTCTGTGGGCGGGGGCAGGGCGCTCCCTGTGCAGCCCCCCAGGGCTCCCAGGATCCTTCCAAACTGTGACCCTAAAGGGGGTGAAGCGTTCAAGGGACGGGGTTGGTGGCAGTGTGGGGGGAGCACCCGCCCGGATGCTCAGTCAAGGCCACCTGGGGTGACTGTTCTCAGATGATGCTCGCCTGTCCTGCTCTTAGTCCCCGTACCCTGAGCCCAGGACCCCTGGATACCCTAATACAGTGAGGGCCCCCTGAAGCCACAAGTCAGTGGAAGGGATGGGCTTAGCTTCTGGTCCCACACACTGCTCAGTCCTGGTTCCGGCTCATGTTTTCATGTCACATGTTCACACTTTAAACCGAGTGGTTTGAGAGTTGTTGATTTGAGGGGGAGAGAGGTTCGATGTGCAGCAGTTCCCTCTGGTACCATTCGAGCCACATGCTGTGAAGTCATGTCTCCTGGAGCAAATACATTCACATTGGCTCTGGCCTCTGTCAGCAGAGCGCTCACACGGGAGGCTGGGCTGAGCCGTTCCTCAGCCGTGAGCCAGCGTGACATAGAGAGGTAGACAGCCCCTCCATTTGCTGGTTCAACCTATACCCGACTGCCCGTAACGGCCAGGAGCCAGCAGCCCCACTGGGGCCTCCCAACTCACGTCCTTAGACATCGACTCCCACTCTCCAGGCACATCAGCAGGAAGCCAGAGGTCAAGTGAGGTGCCCTCAGATGAGTCGTGGTACACCCCAGCCACAGTGCCACCTGCAGGCTCTTGGTAGACTGCTGTGCCCGTTGCTATGAGTGACACCATGAGACCACCCAGAGGCCCCTCTAGCAGTAGTTTCCACTATACTTGCTCTGAAAGAAAGCTTCCCTGGATCCCAGTGCCTAGCTAGCTGCTACACCTCAGCTGATTGCTCCACACTTCTGACACCCACTCTCAGCCCCCAGCTCCTAGCCCTAGCCCCAGCTCCCAGCCCCAGCTCCCAGCCCTAGCCCCCAGCTCCTAGCCCTAGCCCCAGCTCCAGATCCCAGCCCTAGCCCCAGCTCCCAGCCCTAGCCCCAGCTCCAGATCCCAGCCCTAGCCCCCAGCTCCTAGCCCTAGCCCCAGCTCCAGATTCCAGCCCTAGCCCCAGCTCCCAGCCCTAGCCCTAGCCCCCAGCTCCAGATCCCAGCCCCAGCTCCCAGCCCTAGCCCCAGCTCCAGCTCCCAGCCCTAGCCCCCAGCTCCTAGCTCCCAGCCCTAGCCCCCAGCTCCTAGCTCCCAGCCTCTGCACCCAGCGGGGAGGAGGAACCAGAGCCTGATCAGCTTCCTTTGCTGTTGCCAGTTCTGGTACCAAGGCCCAGGGATGGTCAGTTGGGCCCTCAGACTGATCCCATGCTCAGGCCAGGCAGAGACCCTGTTTCTGAGCATGGTGAGAGGTGGGCTGGAGAAGTTCTTACGCTTCCTTTTTTGGCAGATGGTTGGTAGGTGTCGGAAGGGCGAGTGAGGGATGCCCGGCCCCACTCTGTGTGTCCTGAGTCGCATTTAGGGGTACAGAAGTGAGATGGGCTGTAACATGCAAACAGGGGAGGGGATCAGGAGCCCTGTGTTCAAGAATGCCAATGAGGAAAGCCTCAGGGGCTGGAGTCAGACACAGGTGTCCAAGCTTTTCCTAAAAAAACGTTTTATTTATTTGAAAGAGATATCTTCTTCCTTCTGGTTTATTCCTCAGATGGCTGCAACAGCTAGTGCTGGGACAAAGCCAGGAGTCAGGAGTTTCTTCTGGGTCTTTCCCGTGGGTGCAGAGGCCCTAGCACTTGGGCCATCTTCCACTGTTTTTCCCAGGCCAATAGCAGGGAGCTGGATGGGAGGTGGAGCAGCCGGGACTTGAAGCTGCAGCCATAGGGGCTGCAGGCATGGCAGATGGTGGCTTGGCCAGCTCCTGACCACTCCTGCTGTACAGCTCAGCTCTAAGCTTGGAACTGCGGACTGAGACAAGGGCGGCACCGAAATGCCCAGTGACATAGATGCGCTTTCTCCCGGGCCTGTGCAGGCAGCAGGCACAGCCACATCTCCAGTTCCTGGTGCCCTGGGCCAGATCGGCTCAGGGACAGGACAGCTTTCAGGGTGTCCTCCAGGCTTGGTCCAGGCAGATGCAGCTGCCAGGCTCAGTGCCCTGTCCACCAAGGGGCAGCCAGATGCCATCCATGGCGGGTGCAGCAGCTCAGTGGCTGAGCCGCCATGATCTGCACTGTCGGTTCCTGGGCTCTCTATGCTGTGGGCATCCCAAGGGCACAAGAGTGTATTTTTATTGGAAATGCAGATTTACAGAGATGCGGAAAGGGAGAAAGATCACTCCCAAAGTGGCCTCAAAGACTGGAGCTGAGCTGATCCAAAGTCAGGAGCCAGGAGCTTCTTCTGGGTCTCCCATGCATGTGCAGGGTCCCAAGGGTTTGGGCTGTCTTCTACTGCTTTCTCAGGCCGTGAGCAGGGAGTGGATGGGAAGTGGAGCAGTTGGGACATGAACTGGCGCCCACTTGGGATGCCAGCGTTTGCAGGTGGCGGATTAGTCTATTGAACCATGGGGCAGGCCTCAGAGCTGCGTCTGAACTGCTGAATCCCTGCTTCCTCCCAGGTGCAAGGGAGTGGTCATGACTGCGAAGTGAGAAGGGGTCAGGCACAAGTCGCCATGTACGGTCCAGTGCCATCTGCCTGCCACCCCACCTCTTGTACCATGTGCCACAGCCACTCAGGGTGGGTCTGCAGTCTAGGGCAGACAGGATATGCAGGTGAACGGGGGAGACAGTCCTTGAGCCAACTGCCTGCCCTGCATTTGCTCCAATGCTGAGAATTGATCCCTCCATGCCAGGACCTCCCATGCTGCACGGTGGGGCTCCATTGTTTAGGTGAGAGGCAATGACCCCCACAGCCGTCCCTTCACAGGACTGATCACAAGTGGTTATGACAGGGACACTGTGATGGCCCTTCAGCTCTGCCCACCTGAGCTCAACCTCCAAGAACTGGCCACAGCCAGGGCCCCAAGGCTCTGCCCCTGAGCAGGCTGCTGGGCTGGGCTGGTGTTGAGACCCACACAGCCTCACTGCTGGTGAGGACCAGGGAAATTTCTCCTGTAACGCTTTGCGCGTGTCTACGGCTCACAGGGCCTTCCCTTGGAGACAGGGACTTGTCACAGGCTGGCAACGTGCTCGCAGCCAGTCGCCTGTCTGGAACATGCCGGTGTGTGAACTTCTCCATCCATCTATTGCTATTGCCCTTCTGGTGCGTCAGTATTGATCCATGGGACTCTTGGGAGGGAGATGATCGCATGAACTCTTTCCCGGCAGAATTCCGTGGTGCAGGTCCAAACCAAGCCAAGACTTAGAGCAGTCTGTTACACTAGTGATGCGGGCACATGTGCAGACAGCCCTGGGGGCTCCCAGTGACCCCTGTGAAGGCTCGAGTGCGCTGGCCTTGATGACCCAACAGGGGTGACAACAGCTGTTGCATTTTGCTTTGTTCTTTGCAGACAAGCAGAGGTGCCTGGAGATGGTGAGGATTGCAGCTCATCTGGCTGCCTGTGGGTCCACACCTTAACCCTGCCAGTGGCCAAGGTCTGTCTGGCCCATAGGGATACATGTGGTGTCAGCTCCCCAGGTTTGCCTCCTGAGGCCATGCCTCAGCCCCCTGGAGGTTGGTCTGCACCCTCAGCTGAGCCAGCAGGAGACTTGGGAGCAGCTGGGTGCCACTGCTGCGTCGTGGGCCACCGTGCACCGTGGTGAAAGGTGACCACCACAGTCCCGATCTTACATCTTGGCTTCATTTCAGGCAGCACCGTCTATGCACTTGCCTTGTCCCAGGATCACACAGTTACATCATCTGCTGAAGGTCATGGAGTGGAAACCTGCCGGGTCCCCAGACACCCAGATCCTCCTACAGGCCAATGTGAAGCACACCACGCCAGGAGCCATGTGCGGATCATGGCCGCAGCTTCTCTAGCTGATGGCAAGGCCCTGATCTATGCCAGGTGTCCCTGAAGAGGGGCCATGCACCTGAGCTGGACAGAGGTCCAGAGCTGCCAGGTGCAGGGGGAATGGAGCCTAGACCATGCAATGGGCAGTAGACATGCAACTGACATCTAAAACTTTGAATTAAAAAAAAAAAAAAAAAAAAAGAAGATTGGCAGGGAGGCCAGTAATTGGGGTATTTGCTCGAGCAAGCACCGGGACTGCAGGCAAGGGCATTCGGCCCACAGCGCTGGTCCTGGGGTGAAGGGTGGCACTGATCTCACCTGTTAAGGGGTTTCCTTAATGTATCAGCCTGCCATCACTTGACCGTGACCTGCACCCTGCTTTCCCTGTTGGACTACAGAACCACGGGCACTCAGGGAAGCCCGCCTGCGTCCCCAGGTCCTGTCCTCAGATTTGTTTCTCCAGCTGACGCCGCCCCAGGACACGGCACTCCCAGCTGTGCTGTGGTCTTGCAAGGCCCAGGAGGGGGCTTCCTGTGGACCCAGGGCTCTCGCTCATCCAGCGGGTGGGCAAGCTGCAATTCCCACTGCAGTCTGCCTCTCTGTGAGCACAGGCCAACAGAGACTCAAGACATTGGAGAAATGGACAAATTCAAGAGTGGATGGCAGCTGCTGGACCCTGCAGCCCGGGGCTGGGGCCAGGCTGCCAAGGCCGCGACAGCGCGCAGGCCTTGCCTTGCTCCATCCTCTGCCATCTGGTGCAGCTCTGCTTGCAGGAACCCACTGGGTCGGTCCTCACCAAGGGGCGTTTCAATGAACGACGCACTCCTAAGATTAAAGTGAGAGGAAGGACTACCCAACACTGACATTTTATTTTCTTAAGTTTATCGTTTTTACAAAACAAAAAGCAGGTATCAAAAACAGCGAGTCTCTAGAATTCCACTGCCATCTGAGCCTAGGTCAGTGGGGAGACTGGCGTGGAATCTGAACACGCAACGCGCACTGACCTCCCCCTTGGCCAGCTATGCTGGACACTCTTTCGAGAGACTACATAACTTTACAAGCACCAGTCAGTTGCTGAGAACCAGTTAGTCTAACAAAGCAAGCAATCTGCTGTTACTGTTGTGTGCCATGTGAAAGAGTGCACTGAGCTGGAGCCCAGGATGGGTACCTGTTTGGACGGCGATGCAGCCTTCTGGGAGCCCAGCTCCCCGAAGAACCTGGGGGATGGTGTGCCAAGCAGCTCCCGTGAGCACTGGCAGGGGACCCAGGACGTCAGAGGACACAGTCCCACCAGGGGAGGCCCACGGCCCCACTGCAGACGTGCAGCCCACAGACCAGGTGTGACTTGGGGGTGGCTGGCAAGGGCAGCTGTGCAAGGACACACACAGCCCAGTTTGCCGTGGCCTGGCAAGTGCTCCCTGAACCACACCGTGCTTACACAGGGGAGGCAGAGCCCAATTTTGCAATGTCAGAGCTGCAAGGCTCTTTTTTTTTTTTTTTTTGTAACGAATCACTTCCTGACTAGCAGTGAATTAGGAAACTGGCCTCCAATTCTGATCAGATCTCTAACTCGTTACAACAAAGCCTAGCCGATGGTGCGTTGCAGGTGGCAGGCACTGCAGGCAGGCAGTCTCACAGACAGACGGACACACATCACTCAACGCGCTGAGATGAAGCAACCATGCGGGAAGCATGGCTCGGGCCGTATCACCCCAGTTCTCATGAAGGAACCTCGATATGCAATCTTGACAGACATGAAAAGAAGCAAGCTAAGTGGAGGAGGGACGCTACCCACAGGGCAGAGATGGCATTTGATGGGTTGGTTTTTGTACCAGCAGCTCCCACTCCCCGGCAGGCAGCCAGTTCCCGCAGGCCTACACAGTCTTCCTCGCGGTCAGGACACGAACGATGGAGCCCACTCCTCCTGCGGCTAGTGCCTGAAAACAGAACCCAACACGATGCTGATGGTGCTACCCAGGGTGGCCGCATGCAGCGGGGCCTCCCTGCACCTCTGCTTGGTAACAACAGGACCTGGGGCCTGTCCTTGCCAACTCACACTGTCGGCCAGGTCACTGCCAGTCTTGCTTCCGAACGCTGTGAAGCACCTCAAGCCTGAGCTCCTCAACCACAGTGGGCGTGCTGACCTCACTGGGACCCCAAAGCACATGGATGGATCCTCCACGTTCAGGAGCAGGCCTCCGCCCAAGGCTCTTAGCTATTTAGTAGGCAGGGACCTTGGAATACTCTGCCCCTAATGCCTGAGCACCCCCGGGCACTGAGGGTACCACTGGGAGGGAGGGACACTCGTGCGGTCTGGGGAGTGACAGACCTGAGCAAGCCTGAGTGGTGTGTACACTCAGCCTGCGGGACACAGGACACGGGTGGGAGAGGGCACTGCACACCCTGGGCCGGAGCACACGGCAGACATGGATCTCAGAGAACCTTCTCATGGCGAGGTGGGAAACATGTGGGGGGTGGCAACCAGGCACACAGGAGCAGGAGGTGTGCCCGAATGGGTGGACTGGCAGCTGGCTGTGACGCTAGAAGACATGAAGACTTACCAACAGCATGGCCCCCAACTGCCCCCACGCTGGGGTCTGCAGAGCCCCGGGCAGCACCACTCCCTGCCGGGCAGGACCTGAGAGGCTCTGAGGGTGGGATCCACACACGAGCCCAGCTCCCCCGACGATGCAGGAGGGGACGTAGTTGCCCTGCTGACCTCCGGCCAACGTGTGTGTCTCCCTGCACACTTCTCGGCCTTTTCAAATAAACTGAGTTTGGGGAACTACGTGACTGCTGGGGAATACACTTTCTACCTGCAGCCACTTCTGCTACACGGCTGGCTTGTATGTGTGGAAAAGACCGACCAACTTTCAACCCAAAGCTCAGACTCTCACAAAGATATTTTTCTGTGGATGAATGGTGCTGCCAGCATCTGCTGATACTAAAAAATACATGTAAACGGAAAAAGAACTCAATAATTCTTGATTTTTCCCTGATTCCTTTTTTCAACACTAAACTGTGAAACAGGGAACTTAACGAGCTCCTAGATGAAGCAATGGAAATAACAACCTTGACGCCCCTATAACGTAAGTACAGACCTCGGTAACAGGGCTCCCACTGAGCAAGCTGGCCACGAGCGTCGTGCGCACCGGAGCCTGGGACCCCACGGCCCCCGCCGGGCCCTGCGGGGCTGGGGGCTCATGCGTGTGCTCCTGCAGAGTCCTGTCTTCTTGGGGTGCCCACAGGCTGCGGCTGGGACCCTCTGGTCATGGCGCAGCACTGCGCAGACCGCGCCTGCCGAGCGCCCGGCCTGTGCCCGCGGCACCAGGGCCCACCCTGCGTACCTTCTCGTGCCACTGCAGCAGCAGGGCGCTGCTGTTGTCGGAGGGGCTCTCGAAGCCGCGGTAAATGTACTTCATGAGGAGATCCACGCCGCTCTTGTCCAGGGACTGCACGGCCTTCTCGATGTCGCTGGCCTTGAAGGAGATGAGCACCTTGAGCACGATGCTGCCTGCCCGGTCCTGGGGACAGAGGCCACCCTGAGGCCACTCTGCAGGGCACACCGTGGGGTGTCTCTGCAAAGCACTTCAGACAGACGGGTAGGGGGTGCCAGGGCTGGAGGGCCACCGACCCTCCCTGGGAAGCGAGAGGGCAGCAGCAGGGCAGTCACGGGGCAACACGACAGTGAGTCAAACCACACTCGGTATCTTGTTTCTCAATGTAAAAGGCCCAGGAGAACATGGACGCTGACCGGTAACTCCTCCCGAACCATCTTCAGAAGTGGTTTTTCTTAAACACATCGTCATTTTGAAATTTTTTTTTAAAGATTTATTTTTATTATTTTTTTTATTGGAAAGGCGGATATACAGAGAGGAGAGACAAAGAGGAAGATCTTCCATCCGATGATTCACTCCCCAAGTGAGCGCAATGGCCGATACTATGCCGATCCAAAGCCAGGAGCCTCTTCCAGGTCTCCCACGTGGGTGCAGGGTCCCAAGGCTTTGGGCCGTCCTCGACTGCTTTCCTGGGCCACAGGCAGGGAGCTGGAAGGGAAGCTGGGCTGCCGGGATAGAACCAGCACCCATATGGGATCCCGGGGGTGCAAGGTGAGGACCTTAACCACTGCGCCACCGCGCCGAGCCCCTCATTTTGAAATGTTAAGGAAACTTGTCTAGAGCCACTCGAGACGCAGGGGCGTTCCTTAGGGCACCCCATTCAGTCTTATCCGTGCCACCATATGAAGGAGACGCCTAGTCACTGTCCTCTTGACTGTCCACCCGCCGAGTTGCCCTGTGGGTGGCCTCCACCTTTCACAACCTTCCGCTGAAGGGCTGTGCAATCTCCCACTAAGAGAAATGTCTGCCTCCTGCCCACAAGGCAGGACAGCAAGCACCCCACCCAAAGCACAAAGTGGACAGCGCCATCTCAGCAACGTCCCCACGGTGCTGAAACCAAGGCAATGTGCCCTCTTGGTGGTGGAGTGTAGCCACCTGCTATCATCAAATACTGCTGACCGGAGGGACCTCCCGGGCTCAGAGGGCTACTGGCTGCAGGAGCCTTCCAGGCTTGGAGGGTGTGCCGAAGGCCAGCATCACCGGGGCCTCCTGAGCTTGGATGGGACACTGATAACCGCTGGCCACCAGCCACAGGATCCTCCCGAGCACAGACCGGGTGCCGATGACTGCCGGCCACTGGGCCCGTCCTTTAACAATCAGCATCCTGGGCCTGGCGGCATGGCCTAGCAGCTAAGGTCCTTAGCTTGAAAGCGCCAGGATCCCATATGGGCTCCGGTTCTAATCCCAGAAGCTCACACTTTCCATCCAGCTCCCTGCTTGTGGCCTGGGAAAGCAGTCCAGGACGGCCCAAAGCCTTGGGACCCTGCACCCATGTGGGAGACCCAGAAGAAATTCCTGGATCCTGGCTTCAGATCGGCATAGCATCGGCCATTGTGCTCACTTGGGGAGTGAATCATCGGACGGAAGATCTTCCTCTCTGTATATCTGACTTTCCAATAAATAAATAAATCTTTAAAAAAAAACAAAAAAACAATCAGCATCCCACGTGTGAGAGCTGAGCGGGATGTGGGACAGACCTGACTAGTCTGCTGCACACACTGGCAAACTGGGGTAGAGGGCAGGCCTGGTGGGGGTTATTGTGGGTGACTCTGACTAGGCTGCAGCTCCCACTGGTTTATGTGAGGGCCGAGTATGTGCTGGGCAGAACCAGACTGGACTGCAACACCCATTGGTTCATGTGGAAGACAGGGCTGGAAACAGAACCAACCCAGTAATTGCAACAACAAGCTGATTGGGGCAATGGACTGTGCCGGGCCCTGTACTTGCTAGTACACACAAGAATCTGGTCTGGGAACACCTCAGATAAAGTCTCTTTGGAGACCTCCCCAATCAAACTGCCGGACTCAGATCCCTAACCATGAAAAGACAAAGGTCAGAACAAGTCAGTCAACTACCTCAGCCATATGTTGGCAGTGAAAAACTGGGCAAATGGAGACTCTAAGATGGACTATGTCAACCAGTGGACTCTTCAGCGACCTCATCGTGCTTGGAGTGGCGAGACTGGCAGCAATTCATAACCATTTAACTACCAAAACCACTTGAGCAAGACCCTCTGAGCATGCCCCCATCCGGGACCTGGGTGGGAGACTGGGTGGGACTTCTCTCTTCATATCCCCCTTGACCTCAGATACATGAAGGAAACAATGTGAAACTAATAGTCTTACCCATTTTCCTGTAGCCCTTGAAACTTTTTACCCTAATTAACTATGTAAAGATTGTCAAAAACATAACTTTAAAAAAAAGGATAAAGAAAAAAAACCCAATCAGCGTCCCTGCGCGGCAGCTGCGTCCAGGGTGGCGCCACAGGGAAGGCCTGGGCAGCTGCACCAGTACCCAAGGTACGAGGTGGTGATTCACCTCGTAGTGTGTTTAAAGGAACTGGCTTTCCAAAATCTCAGAGCCGTGAAAGAGGAGAAAAGCCCCACTCGCCCCACGTGACCAGGACGAGGTGTGCACACTGCCACAAGCATGACAAAAGCCAGTAAGTCTCATTTTTGCAGAAACAGTCACATGAAAACTGTAACAAACGGTAACACCAAAAAGTAGTACTATGAGTACTGAGTGGTTTTTATGTTGAATCTTTACATAAAATTAAAAGAAAAAGCAAAATCCGACATTCAGATCAGTTTTGAAGGTGACAGAGAAATCCCACCTGCTGTTACTCCCAGAATGCCCGGCCTTGGGCTGGGACAGCCGCGCATGGCAGCCTCCCGGGGCCCAGCAGGCGCGTGGGCCTGAGGCTGGCATGTCGATCTGAGCTGTGGCCACCCCAGGCAGCACCAACAGCCATTCAGGGGTCTTTCTCAAGTTTTATTCCAGAAGCCTTCGCCTAAACCCAGCCAGAATAGTCTCCCCGAGACACACAGGAAAGATCTCTCTACCTCTGGACTCAGCGTGTGGCCAGCACCGCAGCGCTTCCCCCATCAACCCCGCCGGGAGCTGAATCACTTCCTGACACACACCCAGCCTAGGGTGGGGCGGGGTGGGGCGCTGAGGTGCAGGTCAGGCCGTGTGAGGGCTAGTGAGGTGTGCAGTGGGGTCAGGCCGTGAGGGGGGTCCCGGGCTATAACGTGTGGTGCGGGGCAGGCAGTGGCCAGCAGGGTGGGGTGGTGAGGTGCGGTGCAGGGCAGCGGGGTGCGACTCACCTTCACAGCCTGACTCTTGGTGTTGATGGGGGGGTTCTTGAGCGCGGCCTGCAGGGCGGCTGTCATGTTCCCTGTGCGGCAAGTTAAGGAACAGTGAGGGCAGCTGTGGGGCCTGGCACTGGGTCAGCACAGGACACTGAGGACCAGGCTGCCCAAAGGTGGCCCACTGAAACAAACTGAGCCTCCTCCACGCGGTTCACTGTAGCCGCTCTGCCCAGAGGGCAGCCCACTTGTGTGGCATTTTTGCTCCCCTGGTGCTTCAGTGTGGGAAGCCACACCCAGCGCATGAGGCCTGAGCTGCAGCCCCAGGCAAGGAAGCCAATCAGAGCCGGCAGCACCAGTCATGCCCCTAAAGGGATGAGGGGCCGCCCACGACCTGTCTGTGCAGCCCCAGGCGCAGCGCAGCTTCCCTAAGAGCTGTGGGAGGCCTGAACCTGTCACCAGCTCAGCCTCCCACGGTGAGCCCGTGTGAAGGTTGCAGACCTGCGTGAACCACCCAGCCTGGAGGCGGCATGCTGAGAAGGGAGCGCACAGAGGGGTCGCCCGGGGTGGGGTCCCAGGGTGTGGGGGGCGCAGAGGGGTTGCCCGGGGCGGGGTCCCAGAGTGGGGGGCGCACAGGGGCAGGCCAGTGCTCCAAGAGCAGCTGCAGCTTCACCAGCCCGTCTACCCGCCCACACCCACGACCCAGCCCCGCCGGTGCAAATGCCAACTCAGTTATGAATATTCAAATATGCGAAAAGGAAACAGGAACACCACTCCGTGGTGCTGCCTTCCCCGAGTCGCCCCTTGGTCCCCGGTCTCCACCGCTTTCTTGGGATTCACAGCTCTTCCCTGGGGGGTCACTTCCGCTGTCCCCAGCCCAGCCCAACCCCGAGGCCTCGGCCCTCTGCCCTTCCCCGGGGTCACTCCCGCTGCCCCCAGCCCTCCCCGGGGACCTCTGCCCTTCCCCGGGGTCTCTTCCGCTGCCCCCAGCCCTCCCCGGGGCCCCCTGCCCTTCCCCGGGGTCACTCCCGCTGCCCCTTGCCCTTCCCCGGGGTCCCTCCCGCTGCCCCCAGCCCTCCCCGGTGACCCCTGCCCTTCCCCGGGGTCACTCCCGCTGCCCCCAGCCCAGCCGACGCGCGCCCAGGATCGGGGAGCCCGGGGCCAGCCGCCCCCAAGGATATTGCCGCAGGCACGAGTCCACCTCGCCCTCGTCGGGCCCCGCCTGGCCGTCGCCGCCGTCCTCCTCATCCACGAACTTGTTCTCGTCGTACTCATCCACGTCCACCTTGCGGAAGCGCGCCGACGACACCGTGTTCTTCGCCATCCCCGCGGCCTCCGCGCGCCCCCCGCGCCCACTCGCTTCCCGCTTCCGCTCCGGGGCGTGGCCGGCCTGCGCCGCTCTGCGCACGCGTGAGGCCGCCGCCCGCCCCCAGCGCGCAGGCGCGGCTCTGCGCGGGCAGGGGCGGGCCGCGCGTCACGTGACCCGGCGTTCCCTTGGAAACGCGGGAGGTTGCAGGAGCGGGCTGAGGGCCCCGGGATGCGCGCGCCGCGGCCGCTGGACGCCGCCCGGCCGCTGGACGCCGCCCGGCCGCTGGACGCCGCCCGGCCGCTGGACGCCGCCCGGCCGCTGGACGCCGCCCGGCCCGCGGGGGCCCCGGGCTGAGGAGGAAAAAGCGCCATCGCTGGCCGAGCGCGCCGGGAGGCAGCCGCGCGAGTCGCCCGTGCCCCCCTCGGTATCTGTCGGCGGCGTGAACTTGGCGACGTTTGGCCGTGCGGCCGGGCGCGGAGCTTGGGCGAGTCAATCAATGTTCGGGGGCAGGAACGCTGCACGAGGGCGGGGCTTCGGGCTGGCACCATGTGTGTGCCACTCGAGTGGCGGGGTGGAAAGGCCAGGGCGAGCGGCAGCCTGCCAGGTGTGGCCCTGTCCACGTGTGGTCCTCCCCATGGTGGCCCATCCCTGTGTGGCCCGGTCTGTGGCTGTCCTCCATGTACAGTCCTCCCCATGTGTGGCCCTGACTGGGTGCAGCCTATCCCGTATGTGAGGCAATTCTGCCCGTGTGGAATTCCACATTATAGCTGTCCTGCAGCGATGGACTTGGTGCACGGAGCCGATAATAACACACTTGGACTACTGACTGATGATCAATAGCCGAAATTTATTAGGGGATCAGACTTTATACACTGAGGGTCGTATAGGATTAGGGTGGAGGTATTGAGCTCATCAACAAACCCATCAACTGTTCCTATGCTTTTGTTTGGAAGTCCTTTTGTCTTGTATGTTCCACCAAGTGTTCTCACCCACATGCTGTCCACTCAACTGTTCTTATACCAATGAATCCCATCAGGTATACAAAAGGTAGTCATTCGGTTGTTCTCATGCAAATATTATCCAGTCAGTCACACAAAAGGCGCCCATTCAGTTGTTTATCACACAGATATTGTCCAATCAACTGCAATCCTGTGCGCGCTGACCTTCTAGGGTACAATGTCCTCCCTACACCCCACGTACCGCCCTGTCCGTGTGCCCCTGTCCATGTGCGGCCCTGTCCGTGTGCCCCTGTCCGTGTGCCGCCCTGTCCGGGTGCCGCCCTGTCCGTGTGCCCCTGTCCGGGTGCTGCCCTGTCCGGGTGCCGCCCTGTCCGTGTGCCGCCCTGTCCGGGTACGGCCCTGTCCGTGTGCCCCTGTCCGTGTACGGCCCTGTCCGGGTGCGGCCCTGTCCGTGTGCCGTCCTGTCCGTGTGCCCCTGTCCGTGTGCCGCCCTGTCCGGGTGCCGCCCTGTCCGTGTGCCCCTGTCCGTGTGCCCCTGTCCGGGTGCCGCCCTGTCTGTGTGCCCCTGTCCGTGTGCCCCTGTCCGTGTGCCGCCCTGTCCGGGTGCCCCTGTCCGGGTGCCGCCCTGTCCAGGTGCCGCCCTGTCCGTGTGCCGCCCTGTCCGGGTACGGCCCTGTCCGTGTGCCCCTGTCCGGGTGCCGCCCTGTCCGGGTGCCGCCCTGTCCGTGTGCCCCTGTCCGTGTGCCGCCCTGTCCGTGTGCGGCCCTGTCCGTGTGCCGCCCTGTCCGGGTACGGCCCTGTCCGTGTGCCGCCCTGTCTGTGTGCCCCTGTCCGTGTGCCGCCCTGTCTGGGTACCCCTGTCCGTGTCCCGCCCTGTCCGGGTACGGCCCTGTCCGTGTGCCCCTGTCCGTGTGCTGCCCTGTCCGGATACGGCCCTGTCCGTGTGCCCCTGTCCGTGTGCCCCTGTCCGTGTGCCGCCCTGTCCGGGTGCCGCCCTGTCCGTGTGCCCCTGTCCATGTGCGGCCCTGTCCGTGTGCGGCCCTGTCCGGGTGCCGTCCTGTCTGGGTACGGCCCTGTCCGTGTGCCCCTGTCCGTGTGCGGCCCTGTCCGTGTGCCGCCCTGTCTGGGTACGGCCCTGTCCGTGTGCCGCCCTGTCCGTGTGCGGCCCTGTCCGTGTACGGCCCTGTCTGGGTGCGGCCCTGTCCGTGTGCCGCCCTGTCCGTGTGCCCCTGTCCGTGTGCCGCCCTGTCCGTGTGCCCCTGTCCGTGTACGGCCCTGTCTGGGTGCGGCCCTGTCCGTGTGCCGCCTTGTCCGGGTGCCGCCCTGTCTGTGTGCCGTCCTGTCCGTGTGCGGCCCTGTCCGGGTGCCGCCCTGTCCGTGTGCCGCCCTGTCCGGGTGCGGCCCTGTCTGGGTGCGGCCCTGTCTGGGTGCGGCCCTGTCATGTGCGGTGTGCCCTATGTACCGTCCTGCAGCGTGTTGTGCTTCACCTGTGCCAGGCTGGGCTCTTACATCTTGACCCTGCGTCTTGTGACCGGGTTGGGTGGAGGGTGTGCCTGGACAGGTGCTAGGCCAGGTCCTCACCCTCCCCGACAGGTGCTGGTGTTGACGGCTGCACGCGGGGATGGTGCCTGTTACCTGCGCCATTCGCTTCATGGTCTTTTGCTCGCCCAGACACCGTAAGGTGTGAAGCGCAGAGGCGGTCCCCATCAGCTCTTTCCCCGGGCAGGTGAGAGTTGTGGAGGGCTACACCAGAGAGAGCAGCGGTGAACACGGCCGGCTGGCAGAGCAGGCGTGTTCTCGGCATGGTGTGTGTATACACAGGGGACCTTGCACAGCTGATGCAAATGGAACAGATGGTTAGTTTGTTCTGGGGCACAAATATCCTTTTTATGCTTTTTTATTATATTTTGACAATCTTTACATAGTTAATTAGGGTAAAAAGTTTCAAGGGCTACAGGAAAATGGGTAAGACTATTAGTTTCACATTGTTTCCTTCATGTATCTGAGGTCAAGGGGGATATGAAGAGAGAAGTCCCACCCAGTCTCCCACCCAGGTCCCGGATGGGGGCATGCTCAGAGGGTCTTGCTCAAGTGGTTTTGGTAGTTAAATGGTTATGAATTGCTGCCAGTCTCGCCACTCCAAGCACGATGAGGTCGCTGAAGAGTCCACTGGTTGACATAGTCCATCTTAGAGTCTCCATTTGCCCAGTTTTTCACTGCCAACATATGGCTGAGGTAGTTGACTGACTTGTTCTGACCTTTGTCTTTTCATGGTTAGGGATCTGAGTCCGGCAGTTTGATTGGGGAGGTCTCCAAAGAGACTTTATCTGAGGTGTTCCCAGACCAGATTCTTGTGTGTACTAGCAAGTACAGGGCCCGGCACAGTCCATCGTTGGGGCATAAATATGTTGAAATTCCTGTGCAGGAAGGGTCTGCAAAAAATTCATCAGAGATGTGTGTTACAGAAAAGCTGTGCACCCATTTCAAAATTCTTTCCCTTGGGCGAACGTATCTTTGATTTTCATTTTCTGGGGACTTTGTACAGTTGCTCTGTGTGTGTGTGAGAAGGTTCAGGAATAGAGTGGGTCTCGTGTTTCTTAGGATAAGCCGGGTGCTTGCCCCAGGATTCCTGGTGCAGAAGCCGTGCGAGCAGGTGACCCAGGTGGCCGGGCTCAAGTCAGCAGCGGCTTTGTGCTGAGCTGAGCTGGCTCCCTGTCAGGCAGCACAGGAAACTTGGTGCCTTTTGGTAATTATCTGAAGAAGGGCTTCAGAGGACACAGTGTTACTGTGGTGACTGGCATTATGTAACCCAAGAAAGAGTTATTTCAATCTTTTTCTGTTTAGGATCTTTTTTTAACTTTAGTGAAAGCTAAATAATGTACTTTCTTAGACCTGTACACTAATTGCACTTTGTTCTTTAGAGTCGAGATTTTCTCTGCAGAGAAAATTGAAGTTAGAAGCACGGCCTGGTGGAGACAGAGCCAACCCCGGGCTGGCCTCTCCTCTCCCTGTCCTTTCACCAAGGTAATCTTTGTTTTCCTGTTTTAAATCTGGGGAAATGTTGGGTGAGAGACCAGCCTAGACAATAGTGAGAGGAGTTAAAAATGTCTGGTTTGTAAATTGTTTACTATCGGTGGCCCAGATTTTTCTTTGTGTTGAATGTGTTACGTGCTCTGAATTCTCAGCCAGGTAATGCGTGTTGCGTTTGAGATGTGGAAGAGCAGTTCTGACGCGTTTTCCCGAGCGCCGTCCCTGCGCTGCAGCAGGCGGTCATTTCCAGCTCGTGAATTCCCGGGCTCAGGAGTCAAGTTAGGAGTTATTTTTAGGGATTGAGTATTTTTTGGTGGTCCTATAATTCCTTCTCTATCCTCATTAGCTGATACTTAAATCTTGATAAAGCTTTAAAGGAAGTGTGTGTGTGTGTGTGTGTGTGTGAGAGAGAGAGAGAGAGAGAGAGAGAGAGAGAGAGAGAGGAGACCAGTCCCTTCGCTATTGGAAAGCCAACGGGGTTCCACTTTGTGGCGGTTCAGTGTTAGTAGTCACAGTCATCTTGGGGAGTCCTATGCGTCTGATCTTGATTCTCCGTGGATGCCTGCTTCTGAGTTAACAGCCGCCTCGAGCTCCTGAGACCTTCTGTGCGCCGTCTACCTGCTGTGATGTGCTCCTGACCTGGCCTTGTTCTGCTCTGGGCCTGTAGTGCCCTGTAGTCTCCCACCCAGCTGGTTCCGTAGCAGGGACATAAAGGAGCCCTCCCCCACACACAGAGGCCCTGAAGGAGCCCTCCCCCACAGCGGCTCTTTGTTTTCAGAGTCTTAAGGCAGATGCTGTCCCTGCTTCATGCTTCTTCCCCCAGGTTGGGCACTGGAGACTTAAAAAGCGAACCAAAACTTTGGGTTCTCCAGCTGGAGACTCTTGTTTTTGTTGGTCAAAATGGAAGGTATGCTGAATGTCAGATGTGTGCTGTAAGGTAAAATAAGTGAATTTCAGCTCTGGGCCTGACCATTAACAGGCTCGCTTGCTAGCCGCACAGGCCCCAGTGCAGAGCTGCTTCAGCTGTGCCTGTTCCACGGAGGCCCAGCCGCGCTGCTTCTGGGTTGAGAGCGCCAGCCTTCA